TATTCGAATGGTACTCTTCAGTGGTCATGGCAAACAATTGTGATGGGTGTTTGCTTCTTGCTGTTCTTGCTCGCCACACGTCACCTCGTATGTTTGCTTATCTCTCACTATTAATTATCCCTCAAAATGCATGTGGAACATTTGTTACGCTTCATTTTACAATGGACCACACCACACCACTCTCTCAACCTTAGTCCCGACACATTGACATACTAATAATAATGGGCAAACGTACTAATAATAATAGTTTTGGAATAGAAAAACTAAATTCCATAATTTCCATTATTAAGTTAATTTTGATAATAGCCTAATTAATTTAATCATAAAATTAAAACACGCAATGATAACTTATTGCATCCAAAAATTTTATAAATCACAGACGAATATATTGCATGCAAAGGCAATATATACTCGGATAGGAAAGAAAGAGAAAATATCAAAAATGTGTAATCTGTGTTACAAAAAAAAAATGTTAATCTAGATAAAACAAATTGAATCGAAACGTAGCATCCAAAAATAGTAAGTTAAGATAGTATAATGACCAAAAAGGAAACTTAATGCAGAGCATGAAGAAACCGAAGCTGTTTTGGGTCTCAGCTGGAGCTCCGCTTCTTTCAGTTATCGTCTCTACGCTTTTCGTCTTTGTTTCCAGAGCCGATCGTCACGGAATCAGCGTCGTAAGCTTCAAATCGTCCTATTTTTCTTTCCTTTGTTTTGGCAGAGTTTTTGAATCTTTTAACATGGTGGACATTCAGATTGGGAAGTTACAAGAAGGTTTGAACCCACCGTCTTGGAACATGCTTCAGTTTCACGGAAGTCATCTCGGACTCGTTGCCAAAACAGGACTCATTACCGGAATCGTCTCCCTCACTGTAAAATTTTCTTTCAACCTAGTTATCCTTAATATTATATGACATTGATTGTTTACTTAAATGTTTATTCAATTTGCATTTACGTTTGCATTTAAATAAACATATTAAGAATAGAATATAGAGAATTTATCCTAGAATAGAGTTAAAACATTTTTTGTTCCACAAATAGCACATAATGGAAAAAATCCCCAATATAGCATCAAAAATAAATTTAAAAAGGATATTTTATTTTATTTTATATCTGAATTTAAGTTTAATGATCTGAAAAGTAGAGTTTAATGAATAGAGTTTAATATCTATTATTTGAGTCAACTTCTCCTGTACCCCTATTTTTTAGAGTTAATCTCCTATGGGTTCGCGTGATCTCTTATACCCCTATTTCATAATTCTTTTTTTATCAAAACCTAAACCCCCAAATTAAATCCTCTCCGGTGTTCAAAACTATACAAACCCCCCCAATGGATGAGTGAACCCATGGGCAAATATTTAAATTCTATAGCTTTCAAATTCGAAACAAAAATATTTTAAAATCGTTTTTAATCATATTTTGATGATTTTCGTGAAAATATGAAAAAAACGTTTTTTGATTTTTGAAATATTTTTATCAAATTCTATAAATAAAGTGAAAAATATTCACGTTTCAAGTTTAATTTTATGTTTTTCGTTTGACATATAAAATTAAAAGAAGAAATGTGTCCTAGAGAGATTAGAGAATGAGATTTAGGGGTATGAGAGGAATTGCCTCCTATTATTTAGGGGATATGTTTTTTAGGGGATATTTAGGGGATATGGGAGTTTAATACCTATTATAGAATTTGGAGTAATTTTATTATTTTAATATTTAACATTTCTTTGATCAAAAATTATGGGATATGTTTTTTAGGGGATATTTAGGGGATATGGGAGTTTAATACCTATTATAGAATTTGGAGTAATTTTATTATTTTAATATTTAACATTTCTTTGATCAAAAATATAATTTTTCTCATTGTGTATTGTGGGCTGTATTATGGTAAATTTTGTTGGATGCTTAAAATATCAATTTATAACTTTAAATGAATTTAACTCGGTCCTGTTGTGTGCCTTCTGTCCATACATTTTGATCGTACAGGAAGGGATCGCAGTGGGAAGAACATTCGCAGCACTAAAGAACTACCACGTAGACGGAAACAAAGAGATGATCGCAATAGGTCTAATGAACGTAGTAGGCTCCGCCACTTCCTGCTACGTCACAACCGGAGCTTTCTCTAGATCCGCAGTTAACAACAACGCAGGATGTAAAACCGCGGTTTCAAACATCGTCATGTCGGTCACGGTTATGGTTACACTCCTCTTCCTAATGCCACTTTTTGAATACACTCCCAACGTTGTCCTCGGTGCCATCATTGTGACCGCGGTCATCGGTCTCATTGACCTTCCCGCGGCTCGTCATATATGGAGGATCGACAAATTCGATTTCTTGGTGATGTTATGCGCCTTCTTTGGTGTTGTTTTCCTATCCGTCCAACAGGGTCTAGCTATTGCGGTGGGATTGTCATTGTTCAAGTTATTGATGCAAGTAACGAGGCCGAAGACGGTTATTATGGGAAATATTCCGGGGACAGATGTATACAGAAATCTTCATCATTACAAAGAAGCACAAAGGATCCCAGGAGTTCTTGTCTTGAGCATTGAATCTCCTGTCAATTTTGCCAATTCGAACTACCTCACTGAAAGGTTAGTTGAATAGACTATTTATATTTCTACATTTAATTGTAACGGCTATGTCCCAACCAGTTGAGCTACCTATGGTTGTTCAAATGAACCACATTTCTTAATAGATATGTGGCCTTGATTGATATTATTTTCACTAACATTCTCTTCATTTGGATTGTTGTAGAACATCTCGCTGGATCGAAGAGTGCGAAGAAGAGGAAGCTCAGGAGAAACATTCCAGTCTTCGGTTCTTGATTCTTGAAATGTCAGGTTAGTCTTAATCAAACAGATCAATTGTAACCATATCATTATATCCAAAAATATTTAAAAATAAACTTGAGTTCGTAGCTAATTCCTTTTAATGCATATATATGTTAAAGCCGTGAGTGGGGTGGACACAAACGGAGTCTCCTTCTTTAAGGAATTGAAGAAAACAACTGCGAAGAAGAACATTGAGGTAAAGTTGTTCTGCAAACCAGGTTTTCGTTACTTAACCAAAATGTAATTAATTTTTTAATCTTAACGGGATATTTGTGCAGCTTGTGTTTGTGAACCCATTAAGTGAAGTGATGGAGAAGCTACAAAGAGCTGACGAAGAAGAAGAATTCATGAGGCCTGAATTTCTCTTCTTGACTGTTGCTGAGGCCGTTGCGTCACTCTCTCTTAAAGGCCCATCTCTCAATAACGTTTGACTGTAGAATTTTTTGTCGGTCCAAAAAATGATACTTGGCCGATGGTTAAAGTTTTCCTTTTTGTTTCTCTTTTCATATTTTATTATCAATGCAGTGTAATGTTACAATCCTCTCTCTTTCTCCACTAATGATTTTGGTGAAGAATCTCAAGATCTATGGTTAAGTGTGAAGAATTAACCCATCAGACATTCAGACTAATCATCTCTCTCGTCTCTTGTTGATTTTTAAAGCATTGTGACTTTCAACTAAACAATTCTTTGAAAAAGTGTGGCCTAAAAGTTAAAGCCAATTCCTTGTAAAATCATATGATGTCATGATTAACCCCTCGCATTTAAAAATATGAAGGGCAACAGAAAGTATAGAATTCAATTTTGATCAACCAAGTTTGGCAAATGAGGTCTGCACGCCCTTGCTTTAGCAGTTTATATTAATAGATTACTCCTTAATCACGTGTTTAAATCACCTCTAAGGCAATACCCATCAATAACACTTTCAAAACAGTAAAAGTTCAAGTTATTCAACCTTTGCTTGCTCAACCTATATAGTTATATAAGAGAAAATATTTATAGTTCTTACTTAAGTCAAATTAGCACACCTCTTTTTTTTTTTTGAACTTAAAATTAGCACACCTCTTTTCATGCTGATCTTTTGTAAGGTTGAGTAAACTTTTCATATGAATCTCGGAGAGTTCAGAAAATACAACAGAAATACAATCAAAAATGATCTCAGTTTATTGCAAGATTACCTTTTCCATCCAGAAAATAACAAGGAAATGCTTATCTCATCAGAAAATGGGGGAAATGTTTTAATGGCTGTTGTTTATCCGGTTTCATCTAGGGCTCACCACTTGTTTGATGGACTTGATTATGTCATCATTATTTCATTATACTAACATGTTATCATCACCAACGTCATCATCATCAGCTGAGTTCAACATGTACAGATCTACTTGACCTTTTTTGTTTAGATTTCGGCTTACGTTTGATGTACCTTGTGGGTCAAATGCCCAGTGACATCCTATCCCACAATGAGAACTTGGCGTTTCAGCCATATCATAAGCCAGAGATATATGACCAGGTCACTAGCCTTAAAAATCTCGACATGCATTTTTTCTTATCGGTTTAATATTAAACTATCATGATTTTCTCCAGATTAAAATATAACTAGAACTTTTTTTTGATCAAAAAATATAACTAGAACTTTAAAGGCGTTATTGGTAGGTTTAAAACCATTTGAACGCAATTGTAAACATGTAACATCTTATTTTGAATAAATCTTTACATGATATCAAGAAGAAAAATACAAAAATTATACCGTTTAAAATAATCAAATTAGTAGTATAAGTAACACGTTTGGCTAAAAGAATGATCTTTTCATAAACAATCTTCAATACTCGACCAATACACTCGTAAAAATCTACACAAATATCCACTCTAAAATGTCAGTAAATTTTTAAAACAAAATCATAACTCATACATACATAGCCTATTTCAAACACAATCCAAAATCATATATTAAATGAATCTTATGCGATACTCTTTTATAGTTTTCTTTAAAAATGAAGCATAAATTAGGGAAAAGTGTAGATAAAAAATTATAAATGTAAAGAAAAACCAAGTAAACTATAAAATAAAAAATGGAGCATAAATTAGTATAGCCGTATAGGTCGTCATGCGTGTTATTGATGTATAAAGAGATGTAAAGGGACGTCTTCTCGCAACATTGATCCTCAAAACCCTCTTCTCTCTCTCTCTCTCTCTCTCTCTCTCTCTCTCTCTCTCTCTCTCTCTCTCTCTCTCTCTCTCTTAATGCTTTCGTCATTACAGAGTATAGAGACTGACACTATTCTTTGACTTCAGACACTAACTACTCACTTCCCTAACTAAACAGTTCCCACACACTTCAAGAATCACACCTTTGCCACTCCTCCGGGCAACAACAATGATCACATGGCACGACCTCTACACAGTCCTCACAGCCGTGATCCCACTCTACGTCGCCATGATCCTCGCATACGGCTCCGTCCGCTGGTGGAAAATCTTCTCACCGGACCAATGCTCCGGAATAAACCGCTTCGTCGCGATATTCGCCGTCCCTCTCCTCTCCTTCCACTTCATCTCCACCAACAACCCTTACGCCATGAACCTCCGCTTCATCGCCGCCGACACGCTCCAGAAACTCATCATGCTCACTCTCCTAACCCTCTGGGCCAACTTCACACGCTCGGGCTCTCTCGAGTGGAGCATCACCATCTTCTCCCTCTCCACTCTCCCCAACACGCTCGTCATGGGCATCCCTCTGCTCATCGCAATGTACGGAGAGTACTCAGGCTCGCTCATGGTGCAAGTCGTTGTTCTACAGTGTATAATCTGGTACACGCTTCTCCTCTTCTTGTTTGAGTACAGAGGAGCCAAGATTCTGATCATGGAGCAGTTCCCGGAAACAGGGGCTTCGATAGTTTCGTTTAAAGTAGAGTCTGACGTCGTTTCTTTGGACGGGAATGATTTTCTTGAAACGGACGCTGAGATTGGTGACGACGGGAAGTTACACGTGATGGTTAGGAAGTCAAACGCTTCCCGGAAATCTTTTTGTGGTGCTAGTATGACTCCAAGGCCGTCGAATCTCACTGGAGCTGAGATTTATAGTCTTAGCACGACGCCAAGAGGTTCTAACTTTAATCATTCTGATTTTTATTCGGTGATGGGGTTTTCCGGTGGCCGGTTGTCGAACTTTGGTCCCGCGGATATGTACTCTGTTCAGTCGTCGAGGGGGCCTACTCCAAGGCCTTCGAATTTTGATGAGAGTTGTGGTGGTATGGCTTCTTCTCCTAGGTTCGGGTATTATCCGGGTCCAGCCGGGTCGTACCCGGCTCCGAACCCGGAGTTTTCCACCTCCGGTGCTGGTAAAAGCCAGCATACCGGAGGGAAATCGAAAAGTCATGATGCTAAGGAGCTTCATATGTTTGTTTGGGGGTCCAACGGGTCACCCGTTTCGGATAGACCGGGTCTTCAAGTATCCGGTGGAGTTAGTGAGCAAGCCGGAGTATCTGAGCAGGGAGCAAAGGAGATCCGAATGTTAGTCTCTGATCCTCCAGCAGCTGCTCAGGTGAATGGAGACTTTGGGGTCCATGAAGAGTCAGATAAGGTGAAGGAAGTGCCAAACGGGCTACACAAGCTTAGGTGTAACTCAACAGCGGAGCTAAACCCAAAAGAAGCGGTGGAAACTGGTGAAACCGGACCGGGAAAACATATGCCGCCAGCGAGTGTGATGACTCGACTGATACTGATAATGGTGTGGAGGAAACTGATCAGGAACCCAAACACTTACTCTAGTCTCATTGGTCTTATTTGGGCTCTGGTTGCTTTCAGGTAACTAATCAAGAATACATCAAATACTTATTATTATGAGATTATATAAATGAGTTTTAATTGGATTTATGATGAATATGAAAGGTGGAATGTAGCAATGCCTAAAATCATTCAAGGATCAATCTCAATTCTCTCTGATGCTGGTCTTGGTATGGCAATGTTCAGTTTGGGTGAGACATTATCTTTTTCACTCTGTTTCTATTTTTTTCTCCGTTAGCTTAATTACGCTAATCCATAGTCACAAAAGTAAACGTACGGAAAAGTTCGGTATTTTATAAGATTTTTTGGGGTGGCCCGTTACGGGATGGACCATCCGACATGTAGGGTTAATGATTGGACATCATATTATAGAAATGGTCGTTGTGGAAAGACATAGCTCGTGTTCTTTGATAGTTGTCGTGGTCCCCAATATTAAGTGGAAGTTGATTGGAGTTTACATTCATTTACATTTGACGTGTATGCTATCATAATTAATTCGATTTACATTACACTTGCATGACTTATGTTTTCATCGCTTATTGTTTTCAGTGGAAACTAATTAATTGATTGTGAAAAATGATGAAGGGTTGTTCATGGCGTTGCAACCTAAGTTAATCGCTTGCGGAAATTCTACGGCAACTTTTGCAATGGCGGTGAGGTTCTTGACTGGACCAGCAGTGATGGCCGTTGCAGCCATGGCTATTGGACTACGTGGAGATCTATTACGCGTGGCCATAGTTCAAGTAAATATATTTGATATTGCTACAACAATTTTTACTTATTATAACCAAACCACTAAACGAGATCTTGTGGTACCGCTTTGTAGGCTGCATTGCCTCAAGGAATCGTGCCATTTGTCTTTGCAAAAGAATATAATGTTCATCCAGCTATCTTAAGTACAGGGTTAGTAAATTATATTGAATATAGAGAAGAAAAAAAAATCATGCATAAAAATAAGATTACTAACTATGTGGTTGATTTCTTATCTGGATTGAAATTGCAGGGTAATATTTGGGATGCTTATCGCACTACCGATCACACTTGTTTACTACATTCTACTCGGGCTGTAATTGAGAAGTTTTTCTTCAGAGAAAACAAGATTGTTCCAAGTTTAGTGGAACAAAACTTGAGAACGTAAACACAAGAGGTTTAGTAGAGTTAGTGACCATGATTTGATTTGAGGATCCAAAGCCCTTTTCTTGTCAATGCTTTCCTATGGATTATTTCAAAAAGAGTAGGATGACTATGAGAGAGACAAGCGACGGGAAACAAGGGCAACTACACAAAAGCAACCAACAAAAAGGAAAAAAAGAGTGATGAGATATTTGATTTTTGAATTTCTCTCTTTTACTGCCTTATGTGTTCTGTATTAGGTAGGCATTGCGCTAGTGTTAAAACGTTTCAGGTCTTTGTTACTCTGTACGCTGTTTTTATGGAAAGTATGCTTTTGAATGTTACCACTTTTTTACTATTAGTCTACTCTGTTTGACAGTGAAAAACTTTTATAGAAAATACACAAAACAAAAGATAATTTTACTAGCAGTAGACTTTTAAATGATGTTGAGAGCATTGGTCGTACACCACTTGAGAAGCATCTAGTTACCATCCATCTAGAGCATTGGTTTCTTTATTTGCCATAATGAGTGGGAAGAAATGGGTTAGGCGCTTTTGCACTTCAACCTTTTTTGTATCGTCGTTTAGGAACTTTGTGATGTAATTGCTAGTCACAAAAAGGGTTAATTAAAGAGACATAAAAAGTCAAAAGCAACTAGAACGAAAGTGAAAAGGTAATTAAGAAAAAGGTATAAAGCTGCTTCTTTTCCATTTTATTTTGTAAAGTGCTCACTGTGCTTTACTGCTTTTATTGTTTTATTATTCTTTTCTTTCCCTATTTTCTGGGTAGGCTATCAAATAAGTATAAGAAAACGATTGAAAATGACCCATTTTTAGATTTATGTTTAGATTTATGTTTAGATTGTATATTAGTTACGTAGTCTTCGACCATTACTCCTTATTTTGCGGTGAAGAAACCGACCCACACTGTATTTAAACTCTATGAGCATGAAGTTTCTTGAAATCTATCGATTAATATGTTGTGAGCAGAAAAAAATTAACTGTAATAAATTTTCATATAAATCCAACTGTTTCTGACGTCATATGAGATTCATATTTTTAGTATAGACTATTAATTTCGTATTGATATTTTCCGAGAAATAGAAACAAATAATGGTAGGGAATACATATGACAGATAATTGATAAGTCTGAATGATCGCTGGCTTTCGAAATGATGTAACCAATCTATAGATCTATTGAATTGGATGTCGAAGTAGAAGGGAACATACTCAACACTTATCTTTTCCTTATAGAAAATTGGAAAAGTCTTGAAACAAGTAATCAACAATCCCGGATTAAACGTACCAGCTATTGAAAAAGTAACAAACTCCTTAGGTGATCTCGAGATTAGTTGTAGTATATTCGTAATCAATAAACTTTTTCGCAATCCTAAGACCAACATGCGTCGCACAATAGCCGTAATGAACTTCGTGCACAATCAGTTTCAATGCGACATGTAAGTGATATTTTATGTCTTGTTATACCGAATGCCTTCGGGAATCAGAAATAGCCGTCACATAAACGGATAGAAGGGAATTGTCTTAATGACATGGGTTGACATATAAAAATATTGATGCACCGGTCATCCCTTTTGAATTAAGTATTGTTTTAAATATTGTTTTTTTTAAATAAGTCTTGTGTAGTTTTCCAACATGCTTTTTTGCATGAAACAATTCTTTTGAATTAAGAAAAATATAAAATATGAGAGAATACCAAAGATAAACTTTTTCACAAGCGTATACAGAATATATAAGTTTATTTATTGCAACTAAAAGGAAAATATTATTGTTACAAATGTTACATATACATATTTTATATCAAACTATGCTATTTAATAAAATCAATGACAAAAATCATTTTTCACTCATCAAGTTTTGTATTTAAGTTTAAAGGGGTGGGGGGGGTGGAGAGGTAGTGTGAGTAGAATTTATGTAGAGTTAGTTGATTCTAAAAGTCAAGAGATTTGTTAAATTTGTAAAGATTTCTAAAGAGTTTTTCATATTTAAAAAGTTTATTAAAATATCTAGCTCAAGAATTTTAAGAATCTATAAAAAATATGCAAGATTTATAAAGTTTGTTCTACGAGTAAAACAATTATCAAATAAATAACACTAGATTTTAATAAAAAATGTTAGAATCCATCGACCATTAACAATAGAATTTGAGAATTTTAACAATCACTACAAATCAATATCCCACTAAAATTTTCTGTTTTAATTATTTTCGTATTTCCATACAGTAACTTTTTTCTTTTCATTTTTCCTTGATTATCTGGTTTCATAGTGCTACCAATCATAGCCATGTACGCATGATATATGTTGAAGTATGAATGACCACTAACTATTGTACTTAATTATGAGTTATTAATAAAAGGAAAGAGACAATGTCCAAAACTGTTTGCTTCTTGCTTGGTAGCTTCTTCTTCTTCGTTTTCTGTCTAGTGCATCTATTATTCTCTCGGCCCACTCCGTCATCTCATGTGCTCTCTGTACCTATAGACCTTTATCTCCTTGTCTCTTTGTCTCTCTTCATTGGAATTACCCCCAAGTACTATAAACATTTGTAACAACGTTACATTTTCTTATATCAAAATTGATTTATGCGTCAAAAAGGTTTGCTGTAGTTTGATGTAACCATCACAAATCGAACAGACAACAGTCAAACGGGTTTCATGGGGTGGGCCGTGGACGATCCACAGCCCCATGATAATTACATTGAATAACTGAGAGGTGTTTGCATCGATCAGTATCAACAATGGATCGTGTGCATGCATTTGAAATCAAGTACTAACAAAGAAATGGACCCAAAAGAAGAAGGCAACGTTGTCGTTATTTTGAAGTACTAATCCATCTCGTTATACCTATAACCTCTCCAGAAAAGTTTGGGTGGATCAGAAAAGTGATAGGAGAGTGCCAAAACCCTCTCACAAAGCTTTTTTTTTTCTTGAGAATTTTTTTTTTGGACCAGTTCTAGATTTGTGAATATCATCCTTGTGCAAGGACCATATTAATATTTTCTGTACTGTTTTAATTTTATCGGATGTTATGAAGGGAAATTCCAACACTTTTTCAATTAACAATGTCATTAGCGTTGTTACCTTTTTGCATTTTCTCGAATGTAATTTTTACCAGTATCATTGCCTTTACCCTAAAATGATGTGCATATATGTGATGTATATGGATACACCTAAATTTTAAAATAGGTTAGGGAGTTTTTTTTGATAACCAAAAGGTTAAATTCGAATTTATTAAAGACAATAATCTAATCTTTGAGTTGCAGTCCACAGATAAATCCTCTTTCGAATATTCAAATTGTTAATGGATTCATATCCGTGTAGTTACATATGGAGTTAATAGTTTCACACTATGGCGGAATCAATCTAATCTAGACTAATATGACAATTTCTCATCTAGTAGAAACCACTAGACCACCACGATGTAGTTATACTAAGAATTTAAATTTATTAATTTTTTAATTGTAACCATTTATTTCTTTTTAATCAAAAATATTTTTTTTGTTAGCAAATGTAATCTTTTCTTTTATAGATTTATAGTATAAGTGGAGAAGTTCAATAGATAATTAAATGAGAAAAATGATTAGGAATAAAATGATTTGATTTTTTCAAACATAAAGATGATTTGATTTTTTCAAAAATAAAGATGCTTTGATTATCCAATTGTTTCAGGTTTCTGATTACTTTATTGACAAAAGAAATGATTAGGAATAAGATGGAATGGTGGTGTCCTCGTGTGTGTGGATTCACTCCCTCGTGGTACACCACCATATTAATATCGCTGTTCTAGTATATCATTTTAAGTTTTCTATTAGCAATAAAGAAAAACGTATATTTCTGAAGAAAAAAAAGAGAAATGACAGGTGATAGTGGGTGTCGGCGAAACAACGGTCCTACCGGTTAGAAGTCTCCGACAAGTGAACCGTTGTGGTTATTGGGACATTCACACTCCTTTCCGTATTTCGCATTTACACCCATGTCACAAATAAATTATTTGAAATTATAATAAAATTATCGAACACTGGCTCATGTCTATGTTGTTTCTTTCACATGGGTAATATGTCCATCCCATCCTAAACTTCCCAAAAATTGAACATGTCATCTATGCCTTAGAAAGAAGAACATAATTTTTTCGCTATGACAGTTGCCAGCTCTCTTCTTAAACTCTTACCCAACTTCTCTGTTGTGAGAAACATCACGTCTGTGTTCCATGTGAGTCCTATTGTCTCTTTGGGTGTATATATTTATTTACTTGTCGGTAGTCGTCTCCCAACGTTGTCAAGGAGCACGGCATAATGCAAATGACTAATATTTTTGGATTCCGTTCATTTTCGTTCACAGTTACCACTTTCCATGTGATATATGGATAAAACAATTTTAAATCGGACCACGTTCTTTTTAAGATAAAATTAGTATTTCATTTTCATAGTCTATATATCTCTGTTTACATGCGACCATGTTAATATTTTAGAAGTAAATGGTCGAATTTTAAAATCAAACAGAAAAAAAAAAAATTTCTAAAATCAGACAGAGCTTCATAAGATTTTGCTTATTTCAGATCAGAAACCGCATTATGAGATGGTAAAGTTTTTTGAGGTAAGTTGAGAGTTTATTTGAGGACGTGTTCGGTGCTTCTTTCTCTATCAGCTAGTGAGCTTTTCGTTAGCTTTATTGGGCTTTATTCCCTTCTGAGTGGGCCCAAATGTTAGGGCTTCGCATTGGTATGTTCCTTATTGTAACCATGACATGTTATAATTCATGCATATTTAGGGCCTGTTATTATTAAAAAAAAAGTATTGTGTTTACTCATGCATCGATAATGGTAGTATTAGTGGATTAGGGCGAAGTCTTAAGGATCAAATGAGTACTAAAATCTTTGGATTACGGGCGTGTAAAAGGAGCCTCTCAACTTTGCATGCTAAGATAAAAAGTTTACTTTGGTCAGCTCATGTATGAGAGATATGAAGATAACTTCGATACGGTTTGAGATAGACTGCTCGGACCTTATAGACATGACTACAAACCCGGATGATTGGCTGACTTTCACGATAGAGAAGCGTTCTAGAGATTATAAGAGGATTTCAAGGATACGAATTTGTCTCATATTCCTCGGAATAAGAATGGTCGAACGGACGTACTAGCAAAAAAAGCAAAGATTAGAAGCTACACATTTTTCCATATAGATCAGTCACAGTTAAATAGAGGTGCTCTTTAGAAAATCGGCTCATTTGACCACTATTTGATCTAATGTAGATGGACGGATGACAAAAAAGAAAAATAAAAACTGCATGCATGTAATTTAATCAGTATGTTTAGAGAAATAGAAGAGCTTTAGAGGGTATTTCAACATAAGTATTTCAAAATATGAAACAAACAATAATATTTAATTGGTGAATTTTTTTTGTGTGAATTTAAGATACACACTAATTAAATCTAATTATTTTTTGCTTTCACACTTTGACATAGTCATGTTGATAAGATACCCAACTAATGATGTTCTTGGTATAACATATGCAAATGAGCTAATCATTAGATAAGACTAACGACTTGTTGCTGCAACCGCGGGAGAAGTCACATGCAATTGCAATGCCATGGTCTCTTAAAACGAAATTTCTTATTAATGTTATCACATGCGTTGGACTGTGAGGTATCAATGATTATGTTTCCTAGTTTAGTCTCCCTTGTATTGCTTTGAGATCTAACCCTTAAAATATTTTCATCTTTGCTATTATTACTTCTAAGCAAAGAAGCATGGTAGAAATCCACAACAATACTCATATTGCACTGATCTTAATTTTACCAATATCTCATTCTTGTCTTCAGACCAAAACATGTAGTTTAATGGCTTGTATTACAATCCTTAGTTTTTTTTGCTTGTTCGGTTAAGTTACCTTTCATATTTAAATCTGTTGTATAATGCATAATGAAAAAACAAAAATCTGTTGATAAATTTAAAGAGATATAATGGTCGGTATGCGAACGTTAGATTTGGCAACATTTGAACATGTCGAAACCCTTTGCATTCACGTGTGAAATGATATCCACATTATCAATGATCTAAGAAAGATCCAACGGTTTACGAATAATCGCCATCACATGGGAAACTCTCGACCATTGATCGTGACCCTCCTAATTAAACGGCGTTTAAAACGGAGAACGTGGGAAGCGTCCGCTCGAGAAGATGAGAAAGTACATGTGACATGACATGAACATGAATATAGTTTAGTCTCCAAATCTGAATTCATCATGATATATACAAGTTGTTTTTTGAAAAGTTCCTTATTCATGCTACTTCATCAGGACCGTGTATACTCTCTCTGTTTCGCAGGCTCTTTTGTTCAAAAATATAGGTATGCTTTTGATTTTGTGGGTTTTTTCTACTCTCTTATACAAAACTTCTAAAATATACGTATATTTCCAATCAGCAGAAATTATCTAACTCGATATGATGGCGGGAGAGATTCAAGAACCGCTTAACCTAAGCCTTCTGGTAATTTCTTCAACTACTGTCAAAATTTCAACTAGTTTTATCTTCTTCTATTTTTCAGATTATAATGTTCAGTTCAAATGTAAAAAAAAAAAAAAAAAAAAAAAAAATGTTCAGTTCAAATTAATTACTCACTCTTTTTCATGGACCCATTGATAAGAACTAAGATTCGTCATGTTGAGTCCTAGAGGACCCTCATGAGCCCTTTTGTTAGTAGCTTGACATCCACGTAATATTTTTCCAATTATATATGCGTACACTTTTTTCATTAGGAAGAGTGTTCTTAGTATAAACCACAAATACGACTTTTAATCTGTTTCCTAATCGTCTGCAGGAGAATTCTATCCACTCAGGATCGATTTCATTTGGAAGATTTGAGAAAGAATCTTTAGCATGGGAGAAGAGATCATCTTTCTCTCACAATAGATATCTTGAAGAGGCTGAGAGGTTCTCTAAGCCTGGCTCTGTTACTCAGATGAGAGCTCACTTCGAGGCTCATTTTAAGAAAAAAGGAATACAGTTTCCAACATCTGTAGAAGCTCAAACATGGGGACAAGTAGCTCAACATCATCAACAACAAACTGCTAGTGAGAAAGATGATAATTTGTGGGAGAGTATGAGTCAGTGTAGCCACTACAGCTACTACCAAGACAAATGTGATAAAGAAAAGAGTGATTCTTGTGTGAGTTATGAGTCTTATGATGATGATCACAGTTCTCTTTCTGTTGCTTTGGAGAAGACTAAAATTGGCTGCAGTGAGAGAAGTCTAGAGGATGAAGTAGAGCAGATTTCTTCAACTACATTGAAGCCTTTGAAAAGTGACAGGAAAACTATACCTAGTTATGCGAAAACGACCAAAGCTTCTACCAAGAAGCATGTTGTCATAACAAAGGGCTCTTCAAGTTGTAATACTAAACCTAGTTTTGATACTAAGAGGTAAATTCATATACTAAAACCAATTTTTGTATGTGTGTTTCACCACTCTCAAGTGTCTATTTTATTCTGGTGGCAGAGGAAAGGAAATGAAGCCGTCAAGGATTGTTAAAGCCAATGAATCTCAAGCTCCAACATCAAAGAAAATTGAGAGCATAACTCCTCTAGCGACAAACAAGTTCAGGTCCAAGAATTGTATGACTAATGGTTTCAGTTTAAAAACCAAGGAACAAGTCGAAAAGAGAAAAGAGGTACATAAATAACTAATTAACGTATCTCTTTTCTCTCATTTGCTCTGTTCCATAATGGAGTTTATGAGGGAACATTTATGATGTTGTAGGAAAATGTAGAAGCCATAGTGCAAAAATCTCTCAACTTCAAAGCAAGACCAGTGCCTAGAAGCACACAAGCTAGACCTCAACACACGTTAATAGGACAAGAAAAGGTAAGAAAAAATGCTCAAGAACACTCATCTAAAGCTAGTAGTGATCGGTCATGCGCAAATGGAGCAGCTATGAGTAAGCTCAATATTAACAAACAGAAGGTGGATACACAGAAGAGTCTAAGGGGAATTAGACCAAATAGCAGTGACCAGACCGCGAGGAATAACGCAAACAGAAGGAGTTTAGCGGTTAGGCGTTCTGCGGTTGAGGTTGCTTTGTGAGTCATTCACCGTCTCAACTGTTTCTTTGTGTTTGCGTTTGCGTTTGTGTTTCTATGTTATAATGATTAGAATATTATACCGTAGAAACACAAATATAATAAAACAGTCAGAGCATAGGCGATAGCTCACATTATAAATGTAAACGACATTTGAAAGAAGAGATTGTACAAGAAAACTCTAAAGTGAAGTCAAATATAATTACGAAATTCAATTCAATTTTTCCCTTCCCATACAATTTAGTTTTGATTTCCAAATAATATAATTAGATGGTGTAGCCTAATTATCCTTTTCTGTTTGCATTAGTTTCAACATTATAAAAGAGACAATATCTACGTAATATATTAATCCTTTGTTTTTGATAAACATCTAAGTAATAGACTAATCATGTTTATTCGTTAACGTCCATTGCTGTCTACTACGAAGTCACCAACGAAGAGTGACGTTGTTGACATTGTTCGTGCTCATCCTAATTCAAGGATCTCGACTAATATTTGATATGATGCAACCTTTAAATTGCATATTTGTGTTAGCGGAATAATAAAATAAAATAAATACTAACGAATATTGTTCGTAGCCTCTTGAGCCAAACTTTTGTTTTTCTTTTTTTCCTCTTCAGTACATTCTAAAGTATTACAATATATCTTATATATATGAACATATCAAGAGTTTCAACAATAGTTACTTATTAAGTGTTGTCACAAAAAAAAAGTTACTTATTAAGTAGCTTAAGTACCAAATGTTACCGAAAACTCCAACCACCACAACATTTGCCACGTAGATCCTCACGTCAATCTCCCCGGAACTGCAACGAGTGGAAATGACGACGTTCGATCCCACTGGTGAGATGGTTTTCTAAGTAGTAGGGGAAGTGAGCTAAGATAGCATATTGTAAACATACATTTTGGAAAAAAAAAAAAAAATTAGTTCGACAGTGTGGAGTCCTACCTAGAAGACACTTGTCTTGTTAATTATTGGAACTAATGGTTTTTTTTTTGGAACTAATGGTTGGAAGCTATTATATGTCCTCCTTAATCAAATTAACTATTCTTGTTAATTTATTACTAACTATTCGATTTTAGTGAGTCACTCTTCGTTAGTTAATGGATTTTCTTTTGTTAGTTGTGGATTTGCATTGAGCTAGTGTAAACTTCTTTTGTTTTGTTATTGTTGTTGACTTCTTTAGGCAGCATGTTGTAATATACATATGCAAACTACTCGATATAGGATCACTATGTATAATGATAAGTTTGCATAATTTTCGATTAATGACGCCCTTACCCATGTAATGTACAGTATTTTCTTGAATATCAGTTTGATTATACATAATATATTTTGTATCTCGCCATACGAGGATATATCTGAGCTGTGGGATCCTGAACCTTAAATCAGTCATTTTTTTTGTTTGTATATAATTGACACAGAAAAAGCATCGACAATCATGCATGCATTGCATTGTATTAAAAAGAGAGATATATATAAAGAAAATAAAAATCGTTTTGTTATACGACAAAGTTTTGAAAGAATAATCGACACGTCAACCACTACGGTACCCTAATAATGTTGCCCAAAGAAATCAATGCGTCATTGATGCTTAAAGTGGTAGATGGTTGTATTTTAATCTCACAAAGACAAAGATAGATACTAGTTTTTTTTAAGTTTTATTATGTTAATTTCAAGGAATTTTTTCGCATAACTAATAATCAAATCAAACAATAAAATAACTCAAATTATAAAAGGGAAATGGCTCTTAATTATGATTATAAGTTGAGGAAATTTCGAGACATACATGTAAAGGGCTTTCTTTGAGTGAATTTGAAGGTTTAAAAAGATGCATCGTAGTAGCTATTTGCATGCTTTCGAGGTTAGTATCGATAAGTGAGTTTTGTAATTGGGAAATATATAATTATCATCTACACCCATAAAATGAAGAACAATTCATATGCTAATGTTAAATCTCTGTATAAATTATTATTTCAAGCCCCATGAATATCGCACTAAACACTAGTAATGTTATTCTGTATGCGCTAGATAGTCATTTGTGTATTTAAAGAATAGCTTCGATCAGTGAGTTAGCTTAGTATCATCCAGTATTGCTTATGCAGTGTGTCACATGTTTAGGGTGCGACCCTGATATTCTTTTACATGACTGTATCCTAATAATCTCCTTGTTTCATGACTCCAATGTCTTTCCATTCTCTTATTCGGCATAAGATGGCTAAACCTAACATTCAACTATTGATTGGTATTTTTTTATTAAATTGGGAATATCCCATTTATATGGAAAGACAAATTAATCGTCAAAGATAGATGCAGTCCACAAATACATTTTTCAGAGTAATTAAGTGAAGCTCAAAATGGCCTCATATCCGTATGGTCACACATCTTTAGTGTCGTGGAGTTGCGTAACTTCTCAAAGTCCACCTACTATTATACCAACCTATGTGTTGTGGTTAATAATTAATGGCCGAATGGTCGGCTTTTCACTCTTAATATATATATTTTTTTCACTCTTAATATTTGCTAAAGGGAAGGAGTAACAAATAAAGTAGATGTTTACCGAAAAGAAGAATATTAGTCGGTATGGTAGTTATAGCTACTACTACGACTCGCGGCTTTTCCTAAATACGTCAAAAATGATGGTGACAATCAGACGTACTACAGAGTTTCTGGTGAGTTTCATTTTTTAGACAATATATAAGCATAAGCATAACAGCTGTGCGGTACACAATGATTTGATTCATAACAAGTCTATAACTTTCGCAGACTCTAGTATTTATTGACAGAGAATAATAGTTAAATTACAGAAAAAATGTATATATACCTCGAAAGCTTAACAAAATAAATAAATAAAAGTTTCAAATATTATATAGACACTTTCATAGTACTTTCGCTTGAGTTGACAAAAATAAGTACTTTCTGTTGATTTTTTTTTTTAATTCTACAGTCGGTGTGTATGAAGAAATGAAAGTAACGTTTACCAAAAAAAATGAAAGTAACGTAGGTGAGATGGCATTTGGTAGAGTAGAGAGGACATAGCGTTAGGCGAAACATACGAACATGTCATGTCTGATCAGGTCGGCCGTCTATGGCCCAGTTTTGTTGAAACCCAAGTTGATCTCCATCTCTTTCACATCAGAGCATATAACATTTCTTTGACACCTGTTCCAGCTTCATCTCACATATTTTGTTTTGTCAACGTTATTTACTTTACTTGAATTAAGACATACCGGCCCGTTTTGCATCAAATGAGAAAATGATAGAATAACTAAAAATATTAAGGAATAGCTGTAAGCATAATGGTGTGATATAGATATCGATATTTCTATTTTCCATAACAAAAGCATACAGTAAAAACTCTTTGTAGAATATATAAGAATCACATATTTGACTGAAGAATATAAACCAAAAAAAGTAAAGTATTTTCACCAGTTTCGCCTTTGTACCCTTTTCAATTTACATTTTTTTCTGGGAATAATTTCAACTTTACATTTGTTAACTTTTGTAAGTAAAATTGCTTTTTTATAAAATTATTCCACATAAAGTACAATTTTTCAATTTCAAGAATCAATGCGAACGGCAAGTTGACAAAGAGATGAGAACATATCACATAAAGAGAATACATTCTAGAATTTACATATTTCCCTTAACATATAGTTTTGGTCTACGCACCTTATTAATGTGTTTAAAACCCCATTAGAAAATTGGATATATGAAAATATGATAAAACATATATGTATGATCCTAGGTAGAAAATTTAATATCAACCAACGATCAGTAACGTTCTTCAATAAACTGATCAAAAGTATCCGAACATACCAACAAATCTTTGATTTCTCGTTTCTCCGATCATGTTTCAAAGAATCAACAACCCCAGAACTCCAAACCCTATTAGACCGGCGAGCTTCACCACCGTAAAACTTTTTCCAGCGGCTGCTCCGAACTGCTCATCAACGGGGTAGAGATTTCCCGGCGGACCAGTGATATACAAGAAATTAGCTGGCGGAGGAGGTGGACAGTTAGGTGAGACTTTCTTCGGCGGTGGAGGGAGAGCAGGAGGAGGAGGACATGCCGGAGGCGGTGGAGATGGTGGTGGAGGAGACGGCGGAGGAGGGTTTTGGATGCAGCTTGGAGAACACTTTATGGGATCTACCTCGTCGAGCTTCCTCATGTTGGCTGAAGAAGCATCTGATGAGGCGTTGATGATTACTGGACACGTCAGCATCGTGATCATCACCGTGAAGATGATGACTACCACGTCGGATTTCCGGCGGTGATAAGTTCCCGGCATGTTGTGATCGACGAGTTTTTTTTTTTTTGGGGATTAGATCAAATGAGAAATAAAAGGAAGAGTTTGTGGAGGTTACGCTTAAAGAGATATAGAGTGAAGAGTTAGGAGGAGAGGTGTTGATGAATGCGTTTTCGTTACGTAAGCGAAATGCATGGGACTCAAAGACTTATTAAATAGTTGTATACTCACTATTTCCGTAAGCTTCTAGTCTTTTTAATAAAAATAAATTAATGTCAAATTAATAAGAAAATTAAGAATATGGTTGGCTAAGGTATACTCCTCGGTCCACTAAGATATTGGATTTTTCATGTGAGTCATCAACAATTTGCTTTTCCACAATTTTCAATTTGGGGAATTATCATAGTTATTAAAATTCCACCGTCGTATATACCCAAACAAAAGCATAAACTATACATGTGTGAGATGGATAGTGGTTCAAAGCCATACCACATGTGTGAATGTAATTTCATAATACGTTTGTTATCAAAGTTAGTTAAGCCTACTTTATCTAATGGTTTATCTTGAGTAGAAGTTTGTAATAGTAATGCTTTACAGAAAAATACTATTGGACTGAAAAAAATAGTTAAAAGGAAGTAGTGCGTGTAGTTGCTTAAAGCGTAAGTGTTGCTTTTCAGTGGAACTTTGCTTTAGTTGTTCGATTACATAAAGAGAAGATATCAGAATATATAGTTTCGTATGAAAGAGAAAGATTGGATAAATGCTTTCGTATGATTGAAGAATAATTCGTAACAGAAAAATTAACAGCGTAGACTACTTTTAAAAAATATATAATGGAGAAAACTTGTTTTGGTGGCCATGGAACATGCAAAGGAGACACTCTGAGTCTAGTAGTCCAAAATTTTGATTAAAAGATCAGCAATCATTATAAATTGTACATTATTTAGATGCCGGTTTATAGAATACATGACAAAGTTGGATTATATTCCATAGGCGAAAAGTATGAGCTGTACTAACCGGAAGGGTCCGGGTAATGCAAATAGCATTATGAGGCTTGGCCTGTAAAAGAAGTCAAAGCCCATATAGTTTATAGTCAACTAGAGTTAGCTGTATACAGTTTTAGTTCGGACCTTTATGTGACTTCTTTTGATCAAGAAAAGGCCTTGTATCCGGAGAATCATGAAGTGCTTTAGGAGGATAATTTACAACAATATCGGACTTTGATAACACAACCAGTCTGGTATGCTCCACCATCTAAAGATGGCATCAAAATAAGTTATGACTATACGACGAAAAGGGAGTTAATATCAATTTGAATGCTTATATTTCCCCAATTTATTTATAAAATGTAAGAAATAAATACAGAGAGAGCAAAAAGGAAGGTGCAATTTAACATTTTACCAAAAAAAAAAGGAAGGTGCATAGTGATCTTTGCAATTGGGGATATTGCTTAAATATGAAATAAAGTCATTTGGACCCAAGGTTTATTGTAGCTATACTGGCTCTGATCCCGAAATGTTTCGCTGCTCCAGACCCAAGTTGTTAACCATGGACTAATCTTATTGAACTGTCATATATCTTGTTCGTAGCCACCTAACCCCATTTAAAATTTGGGGGGTTATGGGTCGTTGAAGATGCTAATAATACCAGAATACCATTACCATATGACTTTTGACCTTTTCTAATCAGACAAAAACAAAAACTACAAAACAATGAGACTAATATGACTCATTTCGCTTTCAGTTTTGAAGAAACTTTCAAACAATTAAAAAAAACTTATAATCTTCGTTTTCAAACTATTTTCAGCCATCGAATCCGGACTCTGTCATTCCTGCCACTTGACGATCATGTGAAACACTGAAGTTTATGAGGTAATGTTGTTTGAAACTTTTGATACCTCCAGCGAACAAATTTGACTCTCCCCATAATCAGCCAGTTTATCAGGACATGTCATCGTCTACTTGCCTACCGAAGCAACACAAATTTTGACATCTAACGAATAATGTAAGCTAAACCAATTAGATTTACAACGGTTGCTTCTCTCCCAAAATAGTAACTAATTCACTTGAACATACACAGAAATGGCAATTCATGAATCAGAAACTAATGCTTTTATTGTTCCACAAATTCATTACATATATAACAAAATAAATACACAGAAAGCCAAAAAACAGAGTTTCGATTCTCGAAAACCCTTTTGGCTCACCATCTCCACATTCGGATTCCACAATTCATATCCCAAAAAATATCAAATCAATAGAACAAAATATTAACATAATAATTAAACAAATAGGCAGCCAATTTTCCAAAAAAATGAGAGATTGACCAACCTTTTTAATTTATTGTCATGCCACTAGTGATTATTGGCATGCTTTACGAAGAAGCTCTAACAAAGAAGTAGCTTTCCTTTTGCCTCTCTCTGTTCCATTCTTAGATAGTTCCATCAACGGCACAACCGCACCGAGTCTACCTATCAAGACCAGTCTCTCATTGTCTCTCTTACACAACGAAAGCAATATCGCTGCTGCATTCTCTCTGTTTCTACCTTGACCCGTCTGTAGAATATCTATCAACGCAGGTAAAGTATTGGCCTTCACCATCGCAGATTTCGCGTCTAGGTTACTTGCAAGAACCGAGAGTATAGTCAAAGCTTCATCAACCATCCTGTGACTACTCGAGTCACTACTTAGCATCTTAACCAATGCAGGTACTATACCTGCTCTAACCGCTCTGCCTTTGTTTCCTTGATAAATGCAGAGATTGAACAACGCAGTCGCTGCGTCTTTCTTCCCTCTAGGAGTCCCGTTCTCGAGAAGATCAACCAAGGCAGGTATCGCACCGGACCCGCCTATTATGATCTTGTTCTCATCGGCTAACGAGAGGCTAAAGAGGGTAGCCGCTGCGTTTTCTCTTGCTTCCATGGTTCCAGCTCTAAGGACTTGAACTATTGAAGTGACTGCACCAGCAAACATAATCAGCTCCTTGTTGTTGTCATATATAGAGAGGTTAAGAAGGCAAGTGATTGCGTTCTCCTGCGTGGGGACATCCTCTGAGGTTAAGAGGTTCACTAAAACAGGGATTGCTCCTGCTTCTGCAATCAGAATGCGATTGTCTGTGCTTCTCTTTGACATAGAACGGATCTCAGAAACAGCGTTCCTGCGTTCCTCTATGGACCGGTTTGAGAGACTGCGAACCAATGCCCTGATCACTGACATGTCTCCACACCTGCCGTTTGCGGGTTGCTCAATGTTGTGTTCTGTGCACCAGCGAGAGATCAAGCTTCTGAGAACGTAGTTTGGAGTGAGAGTGAAGTTTTGGAGTTTCTGCTGAGTCTTTGGACATGTTAGGTTTCCACAGTCAATCCATCTCTGTATGTACGCCCTCTCATAAGTCTGTAATCGAAGAGAGACAAAACTATCAATAACCAAGCAACGAGACAGTAAGAAAAAGTACAAAATCTTCAAACCAGACCTGTCCTGTAGAGACAATAACAGGATCCTTCAACAGTTCCAGAGACACCGGACATAGAAAATCAACCGGAACCGTGAGTTTACTCGATTCATCAGTATTCTTGGTGACCATTTTGTCTAATCTCTCACTATCCGCGTCTTTGGACAAGTAAAACGCCAAAGAGATAGAAAGGCTTTTCGTCAGCTGCTTCTTCTCCTCAGCGAAATGAAGCGTCTCTGAAACACTCTCAACGTTCTCTTCCTCAGCTTTGATCTTTACATCTCTCTCCATCAACTCAGATAAGGCACTCGAGAACTTCTTTGAATTCAATGAACCGTATCTCTGCATCGCTCTTCTCAGCTGCGTTCTCGCTAGCTCCACCTACAAATAACAAAAAAAAAAACCTTGAAGCAATCAAGAAACACTAGCAAGATCATATCTTTCAATGAACATTGTATACCTGTTCTCTAACTTCGTCAGAGATATCGTAAAGATCGTATGGTAGATTGCTTAACGCTTTCTCTAGCTTCCATGTAACGCATTGGAACTGGAACGAGATTCTCTTCGCAGCAACGTCCTTTAAACCGAGAAAAAAAAATAAACATTTTAGCCAAACCGGAGATAACCGTAATATTAAATTCGAATTAACCGATACTAAACCAGTGATTCTAACACTAACCAGAGATTACCGTAATATAATCATTGGTTTAAATTAAATTTAACGGATACTAAACCAGTGATTCTTCACGAACAGAGATAACCGTAATCTTATCAGTCGTTTAACTTAAATTGAACCGATTCTAAACCAGTGATTCTACACTAACCAGAGATAACCGTAATAGAATCAGTGGTTTTAAATTCGATTTATCCAATACTAAACCAGTAATTATGCATTAACCGAGGATTTGAATAACGATTTTGCTTACAGATGAGTCGCGAGCTCGGAATCGTGCAGCTGAGGAGAGAAGACGCTTCGCGGCTTGAAGCGCCACCACGAGATCAGACCACCAGTCATTCTCCGACGAAGACGAAGCGGCGGAATCGATCTCCTCTACCAAATGTGACAACAGAAAGACTCGCCGAGTGAGATCCGTGCAATCTTTCTTGAACACGCCGGCGTTGGGTGGAGTCTCGACAATCTCGGCGATGAGTTTGAGGAGAGAGGCGGGTGAGATGGTTACTCCGGCCATTACGCCGATCAGCTTCCGTTAAATCGGGAAATTAAATAAATGAAATAAAATAATAATAAAGCAACTTGGAGATTGGCTCTCTCTGCTCAGAGAAGCGACTAACGTCGCTTTTATTTATCCACGCGACAATTTGTTGAGAGAGATGTCGCTGTTACGGCACCGTTTTGCTGGGCCTACCTCGATTTTTTTATTTAGATAAATACCCTTAAATACCACTAAAATAATATTTTGTCTTTTTTTTTGACAACACTAAAATAATATTTTGTCATAAATGTAATACGCAAGCAGAAATTTCCCACAATAGTATTTACTAAAAATTAAAAAAGAATTTTTTTATATAAGAGTTGGTTTAAATTAAGGGTGTGTAGGATTAGAGTTTGAGTAATTTATTTTTTTTCTTGAAGTGAAGGTTATTTTGGAAAAAATTTCTCTTGGATGTTAAAAAGGTGCTATTTTGGAAATTTCCCATCTTATTATTAAATCAAATTAGGTAAATGATAATATTAAAGATATTTAATTTAAGAAATAGACAAAGTCTAAATTGTTATTAAAAATCTTGGGTGAACTTGGTAAATTATTTTTTTATAGGATGTATTTATTTGTAAATAATTTTTTTTTTTGAAAAAGAATAGTATGTCAACGTAAACATTTAATAAGAATGCTAAATTCATCAACATTATCGATATCCACTCTTTTGGATAAGAACTTGTTTTGTTGTTTCTTATAAACCATGTTCTCATAATCACATAGCATGCAAATACTTTTTGTGAAGAAAAAGATAGCGAAACTGGCGGTGGAAGATTGGAAGAACAGAAGAAGAGGACAAGGAGGAAGATACAGTTGGCTATGGAATATTATGGTTCATAATGCAACCACAACATATAATTGAAATGAACCACACACACACACGCTTTAATTATTCATAAGAGTGATCGAGCACCACTACATTTCTTTTCTTGCTTCGTTGTAAAGCCGACTTTATATTATCATCTGTTTTTATATAAAAACCAGTGGATTTTAATAATATTTATAAAGAATAGGTCAATCTTATAAATACATGGTACATTAATATGTCAAAATTAGGTAACTGTTTGTTCTGGCCGGAACTAGTATGAAATCATAAAAAGACTATCATCATCAATCATCGTTTGGTATGTAATCTTTTTGTTTAAAAATTGTATTTCTATATTCGTATTAAAATGGGTAATATAAAAGAATATATGTCAAAAAAAGAATAAAATGTAACTTGAAGAATAGACTCATCCACCAAAGTCTAAATCGTCTGTACCACTTAGCTTATCTCGTTTGGTTTGTTCCCAAACGGATTCGGTCCTAATGTGATTTTGCATGTCATGAAACTATATATGCCCTACTTGTGAAGAAAGACAATTGTCGTCGACGTTCAAAAACCGTTGCACGCCAGCAAAACCGTTCCAAACTGTTTCTCATTAATTAGTCATCATTCACTGTGTATTTGGGACCGATCGAATCAAGTCTTATACGACGTTTAGCAATTTTAGCAATTTTGTTCAGAACCCTAATCATCAATCTAATACTAACACAAACCATTAAGATGAATGCTTAGTCTATGATCGACAGATGAGCAGTGGCGGAACTAGGGCATTGGCATGGGGGTCAATTGACCCATGTGGATTTTTATAAAAAAAAAATTTTACATGTATAAATCTTTTGAAACTAGATAAATCTTATAAATTTTAGCTAAATGACCCATATAATATATGTTAATTTCGAAATTGACCCTCTAAAACTTTTTCCTACCTCCACCACTGCAGATGAGTATATGACAACAAGAAATATAAAATGAAGCTGATAACATCTCGTTTGACACGTAAGACCATGTCCAACGCAAGGTCCTTATGGATCCTTAGCGGGATAACATAGGTCCATGGGCATTGTTTAATAATAAAGCCCAAGAGAGATGGAAGGATTAATCCTTAGGGAAGGATTGTAAGGATCAAGTCCTTAACCACGTGGAAGGCTCTGGGTCATTGCTCGCGACTTTCTCTCTTCACTCTCAAATCTCTTCTTCTCGTCTATTCCGCTTCTCCTCCTCCTCCGTTAGAGCAGATTGTTTTGAAAATCGGTGAGCACTTGGATTCCACTCTGTTTCAAATTCGAGGTATGATTCCTTTGAAACCCTAGCCCACAAGTTTTGATTTTTCATGGTTGACTATTGCTATTAAAGGTTTTTCACTAATGGGTTTTGCTTCTTCTTTCGTAATCTCTTCTGGGTTTGNTCCGCTTCTCCTCCTCCTCCGTTAGAGCAGATTGTTTTGAAAATCGGTGAGCACTTGGATTCCACTCTGTTTCAAATTCGAGGTATGATTCCTTTGAAACCCTAGCCCACAAGTTTTGATTTTTCATGGTTGACTATTGCTATTAAAGGTTTTTCACTAATGGGTTTTGCTTCTTCTTTCGTAATCTCTTCTGGGTTTGCCAAATTTCACTTAAACAATTCAAGAAAGATAAAAGAGTCTTCTCTTTTACGTTTTTGATGTGTGTATATGTGTTGCCATGTCTTCTGATTATGTGGGTTCTGTAGAGTTTTACTAATAGCTTTCTAGCATCAAGCTTGTAGAGTTGAGCTTAAGTTATCAGTTATTAGTTCGGCTTAATTAGAGATTTTCCTATATGTTCTGTGACTTCTGTCTTGTATAACTTAGGTCTGAGTGACTGAACATCGTAGATATGCTCAAGGCATTTAGTTGAGATGTTGGAAGTCTATTTGATAGCTGTCTTGCTTCTGGATCATTGTGTTGCTTCATAATCTTGGTTTCAGTTTTTGATTACGAGTGTTGGATAATCATGTCTGCTCTTGAAATTCAATGTAGAAACCTGCTGCTAGCTACCGAGATGAATTCATATCCTTCGCGAAACCAGCTGCAACAGTTTGATCTGTTCTTGAACAGTTTGTAATTTCTATATTCATTTTGTATCATAGGTCCGTTTGGGATGGCATGATGCTGGCACCTACAACAAGAACATCTCAGAGTGGTCTCAGAGAGGTGGAGCTAATGGTAGTCTCAGATACGAGATTGAGCTCAAGCATGCTGCTAATGTTGGTAATATACTATGGCAGTAGACCTCCTCTTCCTAGTTTTGTTTTTCTGTTAAACGATATGCTTCTTGTTGCTTTCAGGTCTTGTAAATGCTTTAAACCTGATTCAGCACATCAAAGACATGTACTTTGGGATCTCCTACGCTGACCTTTTCCAATTGGCCAGTGCTACTGCTATTGAGGTAAATCCCGAACCTACTTTTACTTGTCATAGTTTTACCTAGTTTGCTCAAGATTTCAATACCATTCTCTGTTTTATTCAATCATGTAGAAATTCTTTAGGACTCTATATTAGGTAACACCATTGGACATACATTTTAGAGTAAAATTCTTAACTATTCAAAAAGCAAAAAAAAATATATTATATTGCCAAGGACTCCAATGGTGGGTAACACCATTGGAGATGCTCTNTAGTTTTACCTAGTTTGCTCAAGATTTCAATACCATTCTCTGTTTTATTCAATCATGTAGAAATTCTTTAGGACTCTATATTAGGTAACACCATTGGACATACATTTTAGAGTAAAATTCTTAACTATTCAAAAAGCAAAAAAAAATATATTATATTGCCAAGGACTCCAATGGTGGGTAACACCATTGGAGATGCTCTAAGAGCATGAAGGTTTCTTGGGATCTAATTCTTAACGTTAACTAAAAAAACTAAGAGCACTTGCATCTAAGGGTGTTTAGGGAAAGTTTAGGGAGGGGGTTCACAAAAAACAAAAACTGAGTGCTTCAAATGCCTTTATAAACGTTCGATTCTGGTTGTTGCTCATACTATTTCGTGGGCTTCACAACACGTGCCAATCCGCAATTGAATGCTATTTTTAAAAAAAAAATCTGAAAAAGAAGAAAACTAAAAAAAAAAAAATGCTAAGCACCCATTTTTCTAGTTTCTGGATAATTGTGCTCTAAGAGACATTTTCTAAATAAAAGATATAAAAGAACCACTTGCAATGTACCCTACTTACCATTTCGTACATGGCAACCATATCCTGTTGGCTGCATTTTTACTCGCATGGTTTATTGATATTAGAACCTGATCATATACCATTTGTTGGAAAAAAATCTACTTATCTCCGATAGATTAAAATAAAAGGAAAATAAAATAAAAATAACTTCTATCTTGGAAGAGAATTTTAGTACAAGACATTTGCTTTTTTAACATCCACTAATATATGTTTCTCACTTGCATTTGACTGAATTTATTAGTGACTACACTAATAACTGTTTCTAAAGCTCTTTAATAGTCTTTCTCCATAGTTTTCCATCTTCTCAATGTTTCTAGAATCAACTTCATTTGTAGACTTTTCTTTTGGGATGATAAAGATATTATCCAAAAGTATATTTGGTGTTCAATAACTTTAGGCCTTTAGAGTGTAGCAATTTGTTTTCAGGGCATGTAAATCAACCTTGTTTTGTAAGCTTAAAACATGGAAGTTTATTTAAAAAAATATAATTCCTTAGAAGCATACAACGTTAAAGGATTACAAAACAACACACATAATTAGACACACGGGAGAAACAGTGCACACATTAAAACTCAAGCAGGAATAAAACTGGCCATGCCACGGCTGAAACAAATATCAATAGCAAAGCTCCAGTCAGTAAGCATTAACATATGCGAGGGAATCAACATAAAACTATCCTTGGGCTCTTCATGACTCACTTTCTGGACTTCCTTAACCATGAATACCTGCTTTAGTTTGATATTAGGTTCAGCTTTCACATCCATACAGCAAGAGAATCTTCCGAGCCCATGTGCCAATGGTGCAATGCAGTTCACGCTGACAGCCAAACCATACGATTTGCGAAAAGCTTGAACTACAAACAGCTCCCCATATTTCTTTTCTTGAAAACAGGCGCCAATCTTCTCGCTCGAGCCCATGACAAGTGTTAAAGGAGTATCCAACACAATCGGTATCACGTGGTCCTTGTGTTTAGAACGAATGTGGTTGCGGAGATTCTTGTCTGAGCCAACATAGTTGCAGTCATTCAAAGGCACGGGGCAGAAACAAGGGGCGAAGAGACACTGCTTCTCATGGCTTGAGCGATTTCCAAACGAGGTATTTTCTTTACACCAGTATTTGGCATTTGGCCATGGCACTCTACATGCTTCAATGACTCTCTCCATGGCTCTGCAACGATTGTACCCCTTCGGTGATTTACATGACGGGCAAATCTTCTTCACTTTTTCGCAGCAATGAGAACAAGCTAGATGGCCATTTTCACACTATAAAAAAGAATCACAAAAATTGTTTAACTAACTTACCTACTATCCCTTGAAACAACAAATGAAATAATAAGCATTTTCTATATACAAACCCAATGAGAAATAAATATCAACATGTCGTAAGAGTGAGAGTCTAGTAAGATTTAACGACACTATAAAGAGTTGTGAATCAGGAAGAAGGACAAAACCTGAAATATAGGAATCTTCAGGGGCTCACAGCAAATAGGGAATTCGAGAACATCTTGATCCAACAGAGTCAGGGAAACGGGTGTACTGCTGCTACTTTGATTCTCAGCGGACGTAGTTTGTTGCTCAGACATGTTACATTTGAAATGTCTGTCAAACTGGTGATTTAGAGATATAATTAAGAGAGAAGGTTAATAATAGAAAAAGGAAAACTGAAGCATGCAGTTAATAAATGGAACTTTAAAAGAAAAAGTTCTTGGAAACTGAAGCATGCAGTTAATAATATGAGTACATTTTTCTTGGAAACAGGCAAGCAGATATGCATAATTTTGTTGCGGTCTCCCAAGAGTTTATTTGTTCCTTTAAACCCTAAACGCTAAATAAATGGAACTTGTTTGAAATCATTAAAAAAAACTCCTCTAGTAAGGAAATTAAAAAAAACAAGAAGAACCAAAAAGCGACAAATGAGAACAGGAAATATTTAATGAAGCTTAAAATATTTCGTTAGGGCATCTCCAACCTAACTCCATTTTTTACTCTAAAATGAAGTAAAAGGAAATATGGAGTAGAAAACACTCCAACCCTACTCTATTTTCTACTCCATAATGAAGTTTACTCCATAAATAGAGTAATCTGTTTTTTATTTGTTCATCACTCCATTATAGAGTGGAAAATGGAGTGAGGTTGGAGCATTTTTACTCCATATTCTCTTTTACTCTATTTTGGAGGAAAAAATGGAGTTTTACATTGGAGATGCTCTTACACACAGAAGAATCTGTTGTGTTACTTGTGTCTGCTCCAAACACAAAGATAAACCAAAGCCATATGAAGCACGGTGAATAACTTGCAATAAACTCTACTTGCCATTTCGTACATCAAAGATCAACCATGTCCATGTCCTGTATATTAGGTCATTATTGCAGACTATAGACATCAACATATATGGGCTGAAAGTAAGAAAGTAGCCCCATTTCATATTGGCCCATAAGGAATAGTTGTCAGTTCAAGCTTCAATGTTGATCTTTGGAACCCACTTTAGGTTTTATCCGATATTCAAATAAACAATTGGTATGGGATGTAAATTACCTCATGAAGAATTTTTCGACTTGATCTAATGTAAATTACAAACTACACATATGTCATAATGTTTGTTGTATTATAGGTAGATTATGCATTGAAACTCATATCAAAACTTTAGAGAAGTGAACATTCCACTACGCCTTGAACTATCAAGTATTAACCAGTCTGAATTTGGACTGTTGTCCAATTCGTTAACATGGTAAACTGTAATATACGATCAATATATATTTTGATATTAATTGGTAAATATTCCAAATTTAACTAATATATTAATCAATGTATTGAATAATCATTTGTATACTATAAAAATTACATTAAAATAGTATTTTACAGTAAGATTATTAATGACCTAAAGAATCTCCTAAAAACAAGAAATACAACACTTTTTCATCCTATAACCCTCTGCCTCATATCAAAACCATATGTATAGATTCACTTAGAATAGTTCTAACTTCATTTCATAATTTACTACAAAATAGAATGAGAAAATTGAGTAATTGATTTTTTGTTTGTTCATCATTCAATTTCTCATTCTATTTTGCAGTAAATTATACACTGAGATTGAAGATGTTGTTAAGATTTATGAGTTTCCACCTCCAACCGTCCAATGTTCCTTTCACGAAAAATCATATATTTTATCACATGATTTTGTTAAATCCATAGCCAACATTACATATGGTGTATTGAATCATGATGTAAACAGCAGATTTTAATAGTATACCATCTGTCTCCAGTGGATATACTTTACCGTGACTAATGTTTTGAATCGAATAAAAGCCGTTCATTTTCTAAACACCGTACACGTTGCAATTAAACAGAAGCTCCTCCTAAACCCTGGGCCTTACCTGGTCGAAGTATCTTATCAGTACCAGCAGTATCGAACTTTGACTTCGGTTTCCGCTTTCCCAGTCTCTAGCTATCTTCTAGTCCCTATGCCACGCGGTTGCTGTATTACACTCCCCAGATGCCCATTTGTTTTGTGTCTTTTCACATTTTCACTTGCCATAATAGATTTTCAAGAAAATTTAGGGTCGTAATTAATAACTAGTCATGTCATCACCCGACATGATGTACTTACATGTCCTCTGATCATGTTATATTTATTTAGTTCGTTTTGTTGTCACTTCAGAGTAGGACTTCAGAGCATATCTATCTAGTTCTTGTTGACAACAGCAATAAAAAATTTACACACAAAAAAGTCCCTTACTGGTGGTCGGCAGAGGATGCTATGCTCCAAAATTTAATAAATTGTTTTTTTATACAAAAATGAGCACATAAAAAGATAAGCAATCGCATACCGAGTTATTTACTTTCTATTATAAATCTATTGACTAACAAATATCTTTATCTTATCCAAAGACATCATCAGCGACATATCTACCACCACCGAACAATGCCATTAATTACGTAGAGATACAATAAGATCACATTTGATAAAGAGTATTTACCATCGGATCTTACACGTGTCATAGTTATGCAACAAAAGGTTTTAGATGTAATATAATTATTTGATGTTTGGCTTTTTACTTGCCAAGGATTTCTCCAGCGTCATAGAATCTTTCAACTTTTTATTAACCAATCAGTGCCTCCGCAAAACTCGTTTTACTGATACGTATCAAGTGACTGCAATATATTAATCTAAAGATAGCTATTTAAATACTTGTATACTATAGTTTTATTTGCTTATGATATTATCCGCCATACTAATCCTTAGATCACGGAATCATTTTTAGGGAGAATGTCATCGTGAATGACTGACATTATCTTACACCAAACACAAAATATTTCACGATGCACATGTATGATGTTATGGTGGTGTTTAATCGCTAGGTTTCCATTCTATGTAGGTTTTTGGTTTTTGAGTTTCTAGAGATTAATAGTCGAAATAAACTGAATAGAAAATATAACCTGGTCTAGCATATTTTCTGTCTAACTTCATTTCAAGTTTTCCATCCAGTTTATCTTTCAATTTTTTAAAAATGACTCCTATCTAAATCGTTTCTTCTATTTGTTTGATCTCTACTTTAGTATTCTGTAGATTGAAAAGGAATCCACTTTAACTTTAATAAAATTTGGTTTCTGATTTTACTTCCGGCTTACACCACACCGGCTTGGTACATCCAAATTAAACAGCCAAAAAATGATAACTTTTCCTTTCTCAAAAGAAAAGACAACTTTTTGATGCGTATATAAGTTTAGTCTCAAGTTCCGAACCGAATGTTGAAATAAATCTTGCATACCGTATAAAACAAGTAAAACAATTCATATTAAACAAACCAGCTATTAGTTTATATATATGAGAAAATATCGAGCAAGATAGTACTAAATAACAAATATAGTAGCCGACTATGAGTTTTAAGCACAAAAAAAAAAAACAAATAATTACTTAAGCTGCTTTGCTTCTGACTGTATACAACAACAGAAAAAGTTTCCGACAGAAACTTTATAAAAATAAAAAACGTTGCTAGTTATAACTATGTAAACTACTAAACTCATTCACATGATGGTGCAGGCGTTAGGGTTCTCGTCGCTGAAAAGGGACATGAGCTTATCGTCTGTACCTCCCGGCTGCAGCTGAGCCTGCTCCGACTTCCTCACAAAGCCCGCTGGTGCCCTCTTGTCGTAAGCTCCAGCTGCGTACGGATAAGCCACCATCGTGTACGGAACGTACGGCCATAACTCAGCTTTCTTCTTCCCAGTGCTTTGCACTCTCTTCAATACTTTCTTCGGATCCACATAGCCACTCACTGTCACTTTGTTCATCTTTCTATTCACTTCCACCGATTTTGCCCCTTCCAAAAAAAAAAAAACGAGAGGTGTATATATCAGTTAGGCTGCGTTTGGCTGATATATATTATAGTCATGATTCTTATTAGAGAAGCTTTGAGGAACGAACCTTTCATGGAAGATACAGCGTTCTTGATTTTGCGTTCGCATCCGTCACAGTCTATCTTCACCTTTATATTCACTGTCTGCTCATATCAAACTGAAAAAGGTTAAGACAAACAATTATAAAACAAAGAAACAGGAGGGTTTGTGGATATTAATTACCTGCATGACTTTATGCTTCTTCCGTTTTCTTATTGAAACGTCGAAATTATTAGAAAAATAGTCGGAGAGAAAATCGAGAGCTCCCATGTTTACTGTCACAAGCAAAGAGAGTAATGGTTCGAATGAGAGTAGTGTCTCTAGCTACTATATATATATATATATATATATATATATATAGGGAAGTTTGGTATGGTTAATATTATGTTCCGAAACAAACAGACATTATTTTATTTTTTTTGCTAAACACAGACATTAATTTATTTGTTGATGAAATTGAGCATTAATTAAATCTCATTAGGTGTAACGATATAATTGTTTAAAGTTGGAGGTGTGTCCCTCTAATGTATAGACAAATTGATGTGCTCCTCCAAGATATTTCCTGGCGGACAACAAGGCCATTTCTGATGTTTCTTTCACTCATGGGGTCGTTTTCTTCTTTTCTTAATGGTTAATTCTTTGTGCTATATGGAATTATATAGTTTATAGAAGGAAAAAAAATGGTTGTTAGGTTTATATGGCGTCAAGTCTTCAACATGTTTATCTAGAAAAAAATGCTACAAGATGGATTAATCTGTCGATTAAATTATCAAATGAAACTTGTATAATATGAAAAGACTTTAAGGATTTTACTTAGAACTTAAGACATAATGTGCTTTATTTCCGATATAATATTTAGATACCTTGCAAACATGTAATCATGGTCGGGTCTAAATTTTTTAAAAATATAGATAATTATTTATTATTTTTTAATAAAAATTTAAAAATTTACGTATATGTAATTAAAAAACAAATTGGTGGAACGGCCGATCACTAACGCTTGGTTTCGACCCTGCATGTAATGCAATGAAATGAATCTACTAAGAAGAACTTGTAAGTACCTAATAATTAATTAATCAGTGCACATTGACTTCACTTTTTTCTTAGGATCGATATTATTTTGGTGTACCACGCAATAGGCATTTGCGACCAACACGAATACAAAATAATTGAAACATTACATATTTATAGTAAACACAATGGAGCCCACCTTCAGAAATTGGAAGTTAAAATACATATCTATGGAAACTTGTCAACCGATGCCGGAGATGCATGCATTCTACATGTTTTCCTATTATATCGCGATCGCTTTTGTCATAGTAATTCATCCAAAGATCTTTGAACATATTATATTTTTTCGGTAACACGGTGTAATTTTAGGTTTTTCAACTTTTTTTTGATAAGTTAGGTTTTTCATTTTGACATCTCATTGCGTAGTTTTATGCAAACGAGAGAATTTTGTTTTCTAAATAATTGGTTTATTGGACTCCCCAAAACAAATTATATAGGCACTCAAAGATCGTCGAGTGAGTGGACATGTCAGAGTCTATACACATTTACTCTCCTACAAGTCTACAACGTTATTGGCTTTAAGTAGAATTCCTTACCCAATACAGCCTTTGATGTGTCAAACTACTCGTGTTGCTACCTCTCAATGTGCATTCTGTGACTCATGCGTAACTTGAGATAATAAATGTACATCAACGTCTTAGCACGTTTTAGACTGTAATTGTGAAATATATAGAACCGCTTTAGCTTTTCTGGTCTTAAAATTCCAGATTATCATCCAGAGTACTACCTTGTAGTTAGGCTCCATATGAAGTGAAACCGGTGCTTTTGATTTATTCATGTCCACATAGTGATTAATGTTTACACCAACAAAAATAATCAGTGGTCACATATATAATATTTGAATTTTATAGAGTTGATTGCGCTTAATAATAAACTTATTGAAAAAGTGGGTTTGGGGCAGATTAGGTTGAAATTGTGGTAAACGTCCCTTTTACCTGTTTGGTAATATCTTCTCTTAATATTTAGTGGTGCGAGGAAAGGCTTGTGGATTCAATCATACAAAATATTATTGGTCCAGTAACTTGTGGAAACAAATAACTAATAATTCAATCGTATCATATCATGCATACAATATATCTAGAACAATACTTACTTAAATAATATAATTTTAATTAGTGCAATTAATATACATAGTTTGAAATTTTAAAATATTACTTAAACATATTTCACACGGATTAAAAATGAAAAATATACTAGTATACCCTTATTTAATATATAATAATGATTTAAAAATATATAGTGGTTAATTAAAAAAGTAAAAAAAAATATTATGTATGAAAAAATGAATTGAATATATAGATTTTAATGAATTGAAAATATAAGATAGTATTTTTTGAAACAAGAAAAATTGTAGAATGACATTTATTCAGAAATAAAAGGAGTATTAATTAGTGCAAGTAATATATAGTTTAAGAGAAAAAAAGTAATATATAGTTTATAGTTTGAAATCATTCGGAAAGATAGATTAATGCACGATTACTAGAGGACAAAGGTCCTATTCAAACTTATCACAAACCCAGTCTTCCACATCTTCTAAACATGAGTACATGACCTCATCATGTAGGCCTAACCTCATGTGTTTTGCGTTAATTGGTTGATGATTTAATGTGTTCTTATACTTAGTTTATCAAGAAACCACTTTGTCAAAAACCCAAGATTTACTGTTTATAAAACGTGTACGTATTGCGTTTTCTTGCTGGCCATATTCATGAAATAGGCAAACAATAGGTTTTGAATCTTATGATTCAGTCCATGAAATGGTCACAAGAGCTCTATGCATAAAACTTTGATCAATAATGACCTACTTCTTATCAGCGGTCAAGAGTTAGCGGTCCATGCATGTTTTTATTTGCCATTATCAGAGAAAATATTACAAATTTATGTACTAATATAGAGTTTTGAAAAATCAATGTAATAGTCTTGTAGAAAAAGTTGTACATACGTGATAAAATCATACACGCTCTAGTTTTTTGGATTTAAATGTCTGTTGACTAGATAAGTCAGAGTATCACCATAGTCAACAAAGTGATGGGATCACTAAAGCCTATAAAGATTCAAGCCCACAAGGCCAATAAAACTCCAAAAGGATGAAGTTTTTGTATAAAGCCAAACCCAATTCATAATCCAATTTGGAGATAGTAAATCAAATCAAATTATTAATCATTCTTATAATTAAAATGTAAAACTGAACCGCAAATACTTTCTTTTAGATATAGAGACAAAAAATTAAACTGTTAAACTATCAAATGTTTGTTTTCAGTCATTAAGCAAAAATATTTTTATATCGACAAAAACATTCTTGTAGTAATTTCTTTTAAAATTCATGTTCACTAAAATCAACCAGGTAATAAATTTTTGATACAACATATTTGGTATCAAAATATATTTTTGAAATCGTGGAATACATCATTCAAGAATCAACAATACAGTCTTTTTGTTCTATGTCGATATCTTTATAATCATTAAAAATAATTATTCTAATTTTTAAATCTTATGATTGAATATTGGATTCTAAACTTAAAAATATTTGTAGATCTAAATTGCAGTGATCAATATAGTACAATAAAGAAAATTGATACTGAAAATACGACAACTATTTCAAGTTTGCAAAAAATTATGTCATCATTTTAATTATTTTTTTGTTGTTTCTCATTGTTGTGCATATATTTATGTAATTTGGTTATATTCTAAGTAATACTCCCTCCGTTTCAGAATATATGTCATTCTAGGCTTATTATTTTGTCACAAATTAAGTGTCGTTTTAAAATTTCGAGGCAAAATTTATTAGTTTTATATAATATTCTATTTTTCTATTATTTGAAAAGTGGTTATGTGTATAGGTAATTGTGTTTTTATCTTGAAAATATGTAAAATTAAATATTTCCTTAATCTGTGTGCAAAAACCTAGAATGACAAATAAAATGAAACGGAGGGAGTATATAATTTTCAGTTGTTTAAAAAAACTTCATTGTGTAACATTTATGGGAAGAAAGCTTAAAATGAATAAAACTCCCTTATGTAAGCATTATATTTTTTTTTTGATTGAATGGCAGGTCTTTCTCACGTTTTTCTTTCTCTCTTTCTACACTGGATCATTTTCTACGAATGATTTGAAAATAACAAAATTGAAAAGCCCTATAAATACTCACCAACAATTCTATACATGTTTATTGTTACTTTGGAATTTCAAATATGATTAATAAATTTGATAATTTAAAACTCTAATTTTAAAATTAAAAAAAAACTATTATAAATTTGTATATAAAAGTATATAATGATTTTGGAAGCATATAATAAATTACTATTTAGAAATGATTATATTTGGTCGTCAAACATATGACTTGACCAGGTAAAAATGATTCCTTAATTACCCAAAAAACTAGTCAAGGTTTCTCAAAATGTAATTGACCCTACATTTGTTTTCTTGGTAGATGTTCTATAAATGCAAAGCCCTAAACCCTCGAAACCATCATCATCATCTCATTCATGCATCAAACATAAACCTTACAAGACCATCGCTATTCTAATCTGAACCTACATTCGTACGTACATTCAACCTAAGTCGGCTTAGATCTATGGCTCCCAATCATCAGCAACCGCTTGACATCTATGAGCAAATCCAGGTAACACTTTCCCTCCGCTTTAGATCTTCTTGTTAACTCGAGCTTACTGTTTCTTAAAACTGAGTTTGAGTTTGTATCTCATTCAGAAGCATAGACAGTACAAGCAGAGAATCTTGTCTTCTTACCAGGTGAGGTTTTGTTTTGTTTTTTTTCTTTTAGTTCTGTAAATCTAATAAGGATCTTATCTCAGTTGTTTTCATTGAATCTTTATTGGTTTTTGTTCATCTGATTTTTCAGCGTCTGCATAGAGAGATCTATACTCTTGACCCTGCTAGTTTCTTCGTGCCTTCGTTTCTTAAAGCTGTTACTCCGGTGTCGGAGGAGAATTTAAAAAGCATAATGGTTGAAGCTGCTCCTGGGATTTACACTTTTCAAATGCTCCAGCCAAAGTTTTGTCAGATGTTACGAGAAGAGGTACCAATTGAGTTTTAAAGTTATTGGTTTTGTGTGTTTTGGCCATAGGCTATTGTCTTGTCTGTCAGATTCTTACGTTTGCTCAGGTTTTTTGTATGGAGAAATGGGCCTACGATTCAAAACTTCCTTTAACGAGACCCAGTATGATGCACGAGTCTGGTGTTCTTCTTGATGATTTTGGCTTTGGAAGCATGCTCCAGAAGTTGCTTCAGGACTTCATAAGTCCTATATCTGAAGGTTTATCATTCTACTTGTGATTGTAAATTTTGGGTATTGTTGTGAAATATGTATGTGCATGTGCATGTGCTCAAGGGTTTTGTTTTTTTTTTTTTTTTTATCTTCTGTCAGTTCTGTTCCCGGAAGTCTGTGGATCCGGTTTAGATTCTTATTATGGCTATGTTGTTGAGTATGGAGGAATTAAACAAACTGGTGGTGGTAAGTACTAGGAAGCTCCTCACTGTTTTTTTTCATTAGTTAGTTAGGTTTGAACTGGTGGGTACATCTAATATATACTTGCTTTGTTGATTTTAGAGGTCCATATGGATGACTCAGAGGTTACTTTGAATGTCTGCTTGGGTCAACAATTTTCTGGTGGAGAGCTGTTATTTGGAGGTGTGAGATGTTTTAACCATGTGCGTTCACAAATTGGTAAAGAGGTAATAGTGAAACCTACCATCAAATCAATCATTGTGTCATTTATTATAATAGTACGTTAATTTCGTCTCAACCACAAAGGATGTTTTCACCAATGATTATAGTGAGTTTAGAACTGATCAGCTGAGTACTCACATGATTCTCGTAGGAAGTTTAGTTCGTTTTTATTTTACTTAATAAAAATATCTTTAGGAGATTTAGTTCGTTGTTATTTGACTCAAAAAAATAAACATTCTTCCGTAGGAACGTTATGTTTACCCTCACGTACCTGGTCAAGCCGTTCTTCATCATGGATGTAACCGCCATGGTGCTTATGCTGTAACTGATGGAATACGATCCAACTTGATTATGTGGTGTAGAAGGTAAAGCCTTTCACACTGATTTTCATGGTCTAACTAAGCTACATCAGTGTTTAGATATTTTCATCAGCAAATGTTGCATATATGTTTCATGAACCGTTTCAAAAGTTGTAAGCTTTGTTTGTGTGGAGTTCATTTATTCGTTCTTTTTCCTCTTGTAGCTCATCTTTTCGAGCAGCTAATCGTTCTCGAAAAGAATTCCCAAGCTGGTGCGGGATATGCAGAGTTAATAGACGCGATAGCAAGCTACCAAAGCTTAATTAAAGATGATATATTGTAAGCAGTTTATTCTTCGCCTCAGTTGCTGAAGAGGGGAAGAACCCAAGACGCTTGCTGAGCTCGTTTCAATATTATCTGCTGATTAAACTACATCTAGTTTGGGTCTCTTTTTTTTTTTTTTAAATCATTTTGGGATTCTACATATGAATTTGCTTCTTTATGAGACTTATTTTCTTAAGACAAAAATAATATTGATATAAGAATATTATTGTTTTCATCTTTTTCTTTTCTCTTTTATGTTTTGGGTTAATAGACTCAGATCAGCGTTGACCTCTCTTTGAGCAGGAGATGGACTTCCATTCTTTATGGACCTATTGTTTTTTTTTTGCCGGTCCTTTGAACATCTGGTCTTATTACTTGGAGCATCAGATTAACTACCACCTAAAGAAATTTATCCACAATAATTACTTTTATAAAAATATATATATAATTAAATAAAAAACGAAAAATGTCAATGAATTTATATACTTTTGGGATAAATTCCTATAAAAAAACTTTATAAGAAATCTAAATGATTGAATATTTACTATTATTTTAAAACAGAAAAGTAGCTAGGGTTAAAAAGGATATAAAGTAGTTGGATTTTGCCGAAGCATATAAAGTTTTGCTGATACCACAAAGTCTCTTTGATCTTCTTCTCTTCTGCCTCTTGATTTCACTAAACAATGGAGTCTTCGTCGACCATCGCAAGGAAGACATGGGAGCTCGAGAACAACATACCTAACTCAACCACCGACAACATATTCCACTACGACGAAGCTGCTCACGCCAAGGTCCTGCAAAAGAAGCCATGGGCCACCGATCCTAACTACTTCAAGCACGTCCAAATCTCAGCGCTCGCTCTTCTCAAGATGGTTGTACACGCTCGCTCTGGTGGCACTATCGAGATCATGGGTCTTATGCAAGGGAAAACCGATGGTGATACGATCATTGTTATGGACGCTTTCGCTTTGCCTGTCGAAGGAACTGAGACTAGGGTTAATGCTCAGGCCGATGCGTACGAGTATATGGTTGAATACTCACAGACAAACAAGCTGGTATATCTTTTTTCTCTCTTAGCTGCTTGTTTGCTTGGTGCTTAAGCTAGGTTTATGGTATTCTAGGGTTTTAGAGAAGCTCTCATAATTGTGTTTAGTTATCTTTGAAACTTCTTTTTTTTTTTTTTTTGGTTCTAGTTTTATCATCATGGCCGCCCCTGAGATTTTTGATGTTATATATAATTTAATTATAATTTTTTTTTGAAAAAATAAGTATGTTTGTATATTGTTTTTTTAAAAAAAATTGGGGCCCTAGCTAAATGTTTCCCTTAGTTAAATACATGCAGGACCGGTTTAGTCTGTTCATCATGTTTGGTTGATTATTGTTGTAACTTGAAACATAGGCTGGGAGATTGGAGAATGTTGTTGGATGGTATCACTCTCATCCTGGGTATGGATGCTGGCTCTCGGGTATCGATGTCTCAACACAGATGCTTAACCAGCAGTATCAAGAACCGTTCTTGGCTGTTGTTATCGATCCCACGAGGACTGTTTCAGCTGGTAAAGTTGAGATTGGGGCGTTCAGAACGTATCCAGAGGGGCATAAGATCGCAGATGATCATGTTTCTGAGTATCAGACTATTCCTTTAAACAAGATCGAGGACTTTGGTGTTCATTGCAAACAGGTAGTTGTTATATCCTCGTTTTGTTGACTTTTAAAAAAAAAATCTTGGAGGCTTTTCATCATCCCTTTAATGTAATATTGTGGCAGTACTATTCATTGGACATCACTTATTTCAAGTCGTCTCTTGATAGCCACCTTCTTGATCTCCTTTGGAACAAGTACTGGGTGAACACACTTTCTTCTTCCCCGCTGCTGGGTAATGGAGACTATGTTGCCGGACAAATATCAGATTTAGGTAAAGAATTCTTGGATATTTGCAAGAGCAAGTAATTTATTTTTTTTTTACTTTTCATCAATCTTGTAGTTTAATAATTTCTCTTTTCTTGTCATTTAATTTTAATTTTTTTACCAATGAAGCTGAGAAGCTTGAACAAGCAGAGGGTCAGCTGGTTCAATCCTGGTTTGGAGGAAAATCGGCCAGTCTTCACAAAACAAAAGAGGTTTGTATGTTCTCAATGTTTCTTCACTTGTCAAGCTTTTTTCTTATCTACAATTTTTGGCTAAATTAAGTGTTACTGCAATATATATCAACTTGTACCTAGCTACTTAGATATTAATAGTATGTAGAAAAATCTTATGAGCCTATCAAAAGATTTGACTGTATATATGTTGCTTCGATATAACCACCACATCATTATCGTTCATCTTCTCTGGTTATATGATTTCGCCAGTGCATGTTTGTTTAGTTGAAGTACACAAAGTTGTGAAAACTTGAAAACATAAAAATCTGGTAGACTTTTGTGTCAATTCGTCAACTAGTTGTTGCCAATAGTCTGTGCTTGCTTCCTAGAGTTCTGCTGTCGTTTATAATCTTGTTTACAACATCTTATTTTGAAGATCTCAAAACCTAATTGTGTATGTGTGTGTTATGGATCACTTTCAGGACGAGACCCCTCTCGCTAAGATAAGTCGAGATAGTGCAAAGACAACTGTCGAGCAGGTTCATGGATTAATGTCACAGGTGAGTAAACACAATCTTGACATACCCTCTTTGGTTCATGAATCCATGAGGTTTACTCTCAAGTCTTTTCATCCATTAATGTGCAGGTTATCAAAGACATCTTGTTCAATTCCGCACGTCAGTGCGACAAAACTTCCATCGACCAGACAGATCCAGAGCCAATATGATTACATCGTAAAGTTGGCATTCTTTTTGTTTTGACTTCGGCAAGCGCAAAAGACTTTCCTTCTTATTTTCGTATAATATCTGCTTTAGTCAAGCTCTTTGGGTTTATTAACATGACAAGAGCTTCAGTTATATATAAATAAATATATATATATATATATATATATATTTTTTTTTTCTTTGTTTTTTTGTTTTTTTTTTTTGCCATGAGAACTATCTTGAAATTGGTATGAAAGGATTTGACCAAGTGAAAAGTTGCTGGAACAGGAATATATATACATGTAAAATGTCTTTGTTTCATCACTACCAATTTAGTCAAAATTCCAAGTTGTGGGTCCGTGAAGCATGTATGGGGCTGATCCAGAATCTTGCAGTAAATGTTAAATACAGAAACAGTGAGTTGTTTTGAAGCTCTCGAAAGCAAACGAACTAAAGCTTTATAGAAGAGACGAGTTATGGGAATCTGGAGGAGTGGAAAGCAAAGTGGGACTTATCATCCTACACCTTTGTCTTCAAGAATTTAACTCAGCACATTTAGCGGGTTTTATTCAAAACCAATATAAACTGACACGTTCCATTTCCCCCATAATGGGCCTTCTTGAATAACTTGTGTGGTATGGGAGATCTTGAGGACTACACTGATAAAATTTGTTTCTCTGATATCATAGAAAATTTCTGGTGGGTCTGCCCTGAACAGGGATCTTATCTCCATCACATCTAGCATGCTTTAGAGGACAGACTTGAGAGATAGAACATGGATGGGGCTACACCATTTTTTTCTCTCAAGATGGCACACAACCATATATGAGAAAACATCTACTCTTAAAAAGTTTCAGCCCTCTATTGGCTTTAAAGATTATTCAGAACAAGAATAATTGTGAGCTAGTGCAGGGGTCATTGGAGAATGAATCTTTTGTTGATTTCATGTTCAAACCAAAATGTAGATACAAGAACAGACATGAACACAAGGTGATAAAACCTAATTAGATAAGAATATGTTGTCGAGAAATAATATCCTTAACAGGTATTGTTTAGGTTTTAGAATATTACAGATTACATCCTTAGACTTATATTTCTAGTGTCATTAAGGCATTGCCCTTTATGCGATATTCTAAATAAAAAGTTGTAGAAACTAACAAATACTTTGAAAAATGCATATAACCAAGATAATCTTAAGACATTCCTCCCCTCCATGGGGAAGAAGACTTGATGACCTTATTAAGTCCTAATGCTAAATAAGACTAACATGTTCATCATGCAACAAAAAGGCTAGCTGATGTTTTCCTTAAACATGAGATCATTGATTCAGTGTTTCAAACAGCACATGGTTGTAGTGCTTGATTTTTATACATTAATCCTAACAGAGATTTTGCTTTGCCTTGTTGATTAGCCATCCCTAGGCTAAACAACATGACAAAACTAAGCCGATACATGCATCAGCTTTGAGTTTGGCACATGATGAGTGATTAACGATTCTGCTCCATTAGCATTATCACCCTATCGAGAGAGAACCCTTTTCTCTCTAGAAGATGCAAATGCAAGAAAGTGAGAGATGTCAATACGACATGATCACCATCTGTAACTGGAGATCCCATTGGGGATCTTCAAATAAAAGCCACCTCAAATTCCATAATATGAGGTGGCTTCTAGAGCAGTGTGGGAAAGAGAAAGTTGTTGAGATCATAGCCAGAGAGCACCCATTAAACCATAGATGACTCTTGACTTGAGAAGAAGATGAAAATTATGATGAAGTACGATGTGAAGCTTGATGGCTACCAAAGACTCCAAGCTTCTTTCAACGGTAAGGAATGAGAGGTGGCTGAAGCGGAAAGCCCGTTACACCTGTGGCACAACAAAACACACTCTCAACAATATTAGTGTATAATGTATCTCATTTTGGCTTTGGTTTGTATATATAATAACACATGTGTACCTTGTTGAAGAGAAATGGTGGCAGGAGAGTAATGGTGCGGGTTGTCATAAGAAGAGAACTGATGATAAAATGGTTGTGGTTGGGAAAATTGGACCCCACCATGCCCTCCACCGCTACCACAGGGATAAAATGGAGCCGCGGATGCGGCAGCTGCGGTTAGTCCACCGCCTCCACCATTTCCATTTATATATAGTCCGTATTGTCCACCTGAGTTGCAGCCGTACACACCGTACAAGCTCTGCAGGACGTATGTAACACATTATTAGCTTAAGGTTAGTAATATGATCATGAACACGTAAGTAAGCTAACTGTTACAAGTACTATCAGTGTCAAATATAGAAAAAAGGGTTACGGACCGTTGGGAATGGAGAGTAATCTGACGAGTATGGAGAGTACCTGCGAGTATCAAATCAATGTGTTTTTCTTACATAACAGATTATACTTTAAGAGTGACAACATGTATGAATGCACGTGGCACGTGGTCATGGCACAAGGAAAGTGCATGTGGGTAAAGAGAATGATTGGTGAAAGAGGGAATCAATCAGTTTGTTTTACAAGCTGTCCGTTGACCACTTTGTCAGTCATTTTAATCTATAAACATTATTACACCGTGAAATTTAAAAAGAGTTATCTAATTACTAATAATAATAGTGTCGGTTCACAATCAAAGTGGGAAACATTGAAGGACAGCCAGCTATGTTATGCAAACTGTTTTGTTCGATTTAATTGATATATATGAGCTGTATGGTATCATGTTATGTCGATGCATGCATGTACTATCACCATCATGATCATTGCATGGAAGAATAAAAAGAGAGGAAAAGAGGAAGAAGAGTATACCCAAAGAGATTGAGAGGGAGGTGGGGATAATGAGGGAAAGTGGGTGGTGGATGAGGTGGTCCAAAACCAGTTTGCGTTGTGCTCATCATCACTCTCATATTGTTAATTCTCCCTCCCCCTAACACATTCATTAACCATCAACATCACTTTGAAGATCAACACAAAAGCTATATATGGTCCATTAACATCATTCACCAACTTTATATGTATAATGTAATTCCAATACTTAATTGGCCACACAAATTTCTAATCAATTAAATCAAATTTGTATAGACAGTTAGACACTCTAACCATATATTAACTACGAGCTATCCTTTTTCTTGATCTAACTTGCATAACATTATAAAGGTATACACGCACACACACATTTTGAGAGAGAGATGAGATATATATGTGTTAACCATGGTTAGGAGTGGAGGGTTTGGATCTTTGAAGACCAAGAGAGGCAAGGTTGCAGTTAGCTCTTCTTCCGTCGATCACCGGAGTAGCGTCCACACAAGCCTTGCTCGCCGCATCTGTCTCCTTGAATGTCACCTGATCACACCACTTTACTAATTAGTTCCCCTTTGAGGTATATATATGTATACACCTATGACCTAACACTTTCTGTATAGCTAGAAACAAGGAGTTATTGTACATACGAATCCATAGCCCTTAGATCTGCCGGAAGCCTTGTCGGTGATGACTACAGCTTCTGAAATCTCCCCAAACTGCTCGAAATGCTTCTTCAACGTATCCTTGTGCGTCTCCCAAGCTAATCCTCCCACAAAAACCTTTGTGTACGTCGTGTCTCCCAACCCTATTCCTCCCGTCATATCTTTTCTCCGATCAAATATCTTTCTTGACGTTTCAATTGTGAGGGACACAAAGATTAACAGAAGTAAGCTTTGCACAAAAGAAAAAAAGTAAGATACAAAGAGTCTATATAGATAATAAAGAGATTAGAGATCTACTTAATAGATTCAGAAGATAAGTTTTCTTTAGGGTTAATCGATATGTAGTGAGAAATAAGAGGGAAAAAATAATAATAATGATAAAGTGCCACTCGGAAAAAGATATTGGACTTAAATTATGTATAGACACAGTCTCTATGCTTTCTTCCACGGCTCCGTTGCTGGTGTCTCTCACGCAGCATCTACTCAAAGGTTATGTGGTGTTGACGCGCGTTAGATGAGCGTGATGATATAGGCATGGATTGTTCTTACTTATTGCATTTTATGAAGTACTTTCAATTATTTAAAAAGAGTAAAGGAAAAGAAATTAGAATTTCGAAAATTTAAAATGTTTTAGTTCCTCATTTTCTCATTGTATATCTGAACAATACACATATTATATAGTTGGTCAAATTTAAGCGACGGTTGTAGTTGAATCTGTACTCGTGATTCACACTCAATCACTTTGCAAGGACAGACGGACTTAAGACAAGAAGAGGTGTGGTATATGCTCCACCCTAATTTATTAATTTTCATTCATAATTAGTGTTAAAACTTATTTAAGTATCTCAAGGTTAAATATTAATTTTTTATTGAGAAAAAGGTTAAAAACTAGTTATAAGAATGCCCCATACTAAAAACAATTATAGATCGCATAGTCATGTATAGATTTCTCGAGGTTTTGGGTAAATTATGTGTAGCTCTTTTTAGATTTGAGGATTGTGCTACTTATTCTTTTTTTTCTTTCATTCTCTTACTTATGCAAACATATGTCTTTGATTTAAATTACAGTAGTCTCTTTTTCTTTTCTTTGTTCGCCAACCAGATAAACTACAGTTGCTTTTTGGCCTTTAATATGATGATGATCATTGTATCAAACGAATATTTATCTTTGAATACTTAGTCAACCTAAAGTCAGATATATGATCTGACCAATTCTGTAACTAGCCAATAGCCGAAGATGGATTTGTTAAATAGTCCCATTAGTCATGGACCTAAAAGCCCATTAAAGTTCACAATCGAATAGCTTTACCCGTTTACTACTTTTCGCGCGTAGGGTTTAGACTAACCGATCTCTAACAACTTTTCAAATTGTAAAAAAACAAAAAAAAACATGGAACTGATAGTGACTGGCGATTCAAGCCAACGAGACCAGACAGCGGCGAGTCAATGATTCTTTCCGACAAAATACGCCAAAGGTCCGACAAATGCCGCATTTATGTAAGTGGCTGGTTCAGACCGGGTGTAATCATCTCTCTGGTCTGGATACTGGTCGTTTCGATCCGGTCCTCCCACGATAGCCCCGATTAATATGTTAGGGTTAGGGTTTTGAGTGCGGAAAGACTGAAACCCGCCGCTGCATCCTAGAGAGTTTGAACGCACCGCTCGGCTCGGGAGAGAGGATCCTCTGTGGTGGATTCTCTTGGGAAAATTCGACCCGAATCCAACCATGTAGGACATTTTCATCGGATTCACACCGAGTATGTAATCCACCTGACGCTTCGACAAGTTTATCAGAGCGTTGGGTGCGATGACAGAGTTTCCGCAGTTGAATGTGTGTTTCTTGGACTTCATGTATTTAGCGTAGGTCGTAAGCAAGAATGTTATTGATGTCACGTATTGTAGATTGCTCTGAGGTAACTTGTACATCAAGCCACCTGAATTTTTTAATTTTTTAAATTTTTTAACAATAACGTGTGTATTACTATTGATTCTCATGTATGTTTAAGTCACCTTGAGTGTACTTTGTGGATGATGAAGGAGAGTTTGGAAGGATCTTGCACATGAAATTCTCAGCTGCTTGCTTGTAAAGCTCAAAGTTGTTGTCATTGTTCAGTACTGCTCGCTGAGAAAAAAAAGATATGTTTGTGAATCATTTAACCAATTAAGAAATTGCTAAATTATGTTATAAGCATTGAGATTGAGACATACTCTTGAGAGAAGAACATAGGCACCAGCATACTTATTGTCCCAACTGAATATGTCAGGCTGATCTCCTCCTCCCAAGGATTTAATAAAGTTTATATAGTACTGATCGTTGGTTGCTCTATGCAGCCAAGCCGCTCCCCACACAAGCTCATCCTTGTAACCAGAGTAGGAGCAGTAGAAAGGACAAACAGCAGAGGAAAGGGAGTTACTGTAAGCGCCTCGGTATTGGATAGCAAACTGCATTACCTTCTTGGCTGTGGCCAGGAGCAAGCGAGAGTACTTAGGGTCAACTTTTCTAAAAACCATGGAGCTAGACGCTAGAGCAGCAGCGGTTTCAGCTGCTACATCAGAGCCAGGGTTTGAGGCTGACACTGAGTAGACTGTGCGAGGAGTGTCCATATCTTCTGGACGTTCCCAGCACTTGTGATCACCGTTTGGGTCTCCTACTCCAACGTAAAGCTTTCCCGGTGTAGCTCTGGCGCATTTCAGTAGATAGTCCGTGGCCCAACGGATGGCTACACGGGCGTTCTGGAGTTCTGGTCCCATCTTCTTACCGTACTCCAAAGAGCTCCAGGAGAGCATGGTGGTGGTGAAGGCCATTGGGAAATTGAACTTCACGTTGTCACCAGCATCATAGTACCCTCCAGTTAAGTCCACCTACAACTCATAGTTTATTAATGTTATGCCCTTTTACTGTTAGTGACTATGGATTTATATATAGTTTTGGGTGTCTTACATGAGCAGATGAGCCATCAGAGAGGCCAGAGCTGAACCTCCATGAGAGTTTTTGGTCACCAGGGAGGGGACCAGACCGCTGTCCTTGAAAAAAGAGCAATGACTTTGTGAGTGCTTCTCTGTAGTTGGGACCAGCATAGGTGTTTTCTAGTAAAAGAGTAGAGAGAAGGAAAACAAAGAAGAAAGAGGAAGCCATTCTTCTAAAAAAAAGTGGCTTGGCTGAAGCAAAGCTCAGAGCACTTTTGTGGAATGGCTTGATGGTTCACATGAATATACACATGTATATATAGCCAAAGAATACAAATGGAGTTGATGAGATTGAGAGCGACGAATATGGCTTTTTGGAAGTCAGCTTAACTGCCAAAAAATACTCCTCTTAATATAATATTTTGTAGAACTGACTAATGAAATATATTACACTTACCATAACTCATGAGTTTATTATGTGAAATCTTCTTTTCCTTGTAGGATAGTTCATCTCTTAATTGACACTCGCTGTGTTTCAAATATATAAATTGTTTTGAAAGTTTTTTTTTTCGTTAAACAATTTAAGTTGTTTTCAGAATCCAATATGAAATGTGGAGTGGTTAAGCAGTTTATACTTTAAAGTCAAAAGCAAAAGATTAAAAGGTTTGCTCAACATGTATGCTTTTAGAAAAAATAATTATAACTTGAAACATATGAGGTATCTATACTCGATTACCACATGATGGCACATAGACATTGACCTTGTCTATATGAGTTTTGATATTGGGTACTTATATTTTACCATGGTTAAGTGTATTTGGATATATTTGAAATTACGTAAAATGTACGGTTTGAGATAGATAAACAAATGTCTTGAAACTTGATAATAGGGTGGTTAGTTAGGTAAGTATTTAGTTTAATTAGGTTAGGGTTATGGGGATTATGATTTCGAAAAAAGAGACAAAAGGAGAGGGGGGACGTAAATGGCGCCAAGATAACGGGACTAAAGATTTAAAAGAGTTTCTCATGTGTAATTAACACGTAAATGATGCCTTTAATCTCTTAACTATTGTCTTACTACATCAAATAAGATATTCGTCTCTCTTGTTATTAGTGGCTTCAGTTTCAACTAAACATTAAGGATTTTGCTTAAAAGACGGCTTTAAACCTTGATAGAGCTGAGATTCAAAGCTAAGCAAACATAAACACCTTTTTTCTCGTACCAAACGAAGAATCTCTATTATAAATATTTCTTGATATTGGTATCAAAATCTAAATCTGGGAGATTCGCGGCTTAATCTCGTGCACGTGTAAATATAATGGTTCGTATGAGAGATCCCATAACATTGATGATTGTTTAATGGTAGCAAAGTACAAGTAAATCTCTCCACCGGTAATGAAAAACATTTTCGACCAAAATTACATATTTATCAGTGTTCGAAAAGAAATATGTTGGGTTAATCGGCTAATCATTAGAGACAAAACCTTTTAAAAACTTGTGTAGTCGAGGGCCAACGAAGTACACGAATTGAATTGACTGATACATAAGAAGTTCACAATCATATTATCTCTTGCAATGAATGTGATTAAAAAGTAGAAATCAAATTAGAAGGATGTATTACTATGTACAATGATTGACATGACCTGGAGTATTAGTACAAATGCAATGGCGAGAGAAGAAGATTTTAGATCCGGCGATCAGTCTCATCTACCGGTAGAACTAGAAGAGTCAGGACATGACTAGTAGAACTGGCCATGCCATCATTACTCGATACTCGATAAACTTTTTCATTTTTGTCTATTTTTTTAGAATTCACATTTTTAGATGTTGAAATTTAGAATATATGTTTTTTGTATGTAATCAAGAGTATAAATCAAGTCAAATAACTTGCAAATATAATTTTTTTTTCTTGCAAATACTTGATAGAATAAGTACTTGTCTCAAATAAGTCAAAAAGTAGCAAGCAGCAAATTGTATTACTCAACAAGACAAGTCATTGACTAGAGAGTTTTTTCACTTTAGCATCACCAAAATGGAGGATGTTTAACAGACTTTTAAACACTTTTTTTCCAAATTTTCTGGAAAAAAAAAATGAAATTTATTTCGTGATCCTAAAAAAAAAAGCACACGTGGCGATCCAGATCTCCAGAAGCCACATCCGAAAATGCGTCGTCATCGCCGCGCCAACAGGGAGAAGAAGCTCAGAAAATTTTGGATGGAGAAGGCACAAAGAAGAAGAAGCTTGAATTCAATCTCCGTCAAAGCTGCTTGAAGAAGATGCACCTCCTCATCAGATCATCCTCTTCTCTTCCATTCACCTGCAACAACTCCTCCTTCACACTCTACAAACGATTCCACTTCCTCAAGCCATCTTCTTCCCTCAAACAGACCAATAATAAGAAAAAACAGAAACAGTCTCTCCCTCCCTCCACCGCCCCTCCTCCCCACACTCTCCGCTGGCTCTTCAGTCCTAAATCAAGTGACGACGAAGACGTTAAATCCTCCTCGGATGAAGACAGTGACGGATCGGATGGAGATGCTGCTATTAAAGGTACGATTCTTGCCGGAGCTTTGCTGATTGGTTCCGTTGGTGGATTCGCCGGCGTTGGTTACGTCTACAGGGATCAGATCAATACCTTTCTCACTCAATTCTCTACTCTAATCGAAGGTTCTTGTTGATTCTATTACCGAACTGATTCTGTTACATTTAGGACCAAGTTTCAGATGTTTTGTTTTGTCCTGAGTTTTGTAATTGTGGAACCAATAAACAGGTTATGGTCCAGCTGGATATGCACTCTTCATTGCCGTGTATGCTGGTCTTGAGGCAAGAGCTTCTTAATAGTACTTTTTTTTTGTTCAAAGTCGAATGAAACTCTTAGGCTTCAAAATTTTTTGAAGAAAATTACATTGACATAGTCCAAAAAAAACTTTTTAAGTCCCAAATTTGTATAAAAAAATTAGTGAAAAATCTTAAATATATGAATCTTAATTGTAGTGTGCCTTAGGTTTTCAAATTTATTTAAGAAAATTACATTGACATAGCCCAAAAAAAATATGGAATTTATTTTTCATGTTGAAATCTTTAATATATGTCCCGCCCCAAAATCCCTCAGTTTCAGCCTCTTTTTGTTTGACTTGTGGTTAGATACTAGCAATTCCAGCTCTCCCGTTGACCATGTCGGCTGGTCTTCTCTTCGGTTCTCTTGTTGGCACTATCATAGTTTCCATAAGTGGAACTGTAAGTTAATTCTCTCCCACGAGACCATTTCATCCAAAGTCACATTCCCATGTTTTTTTACTTGTCTAAATTGTTTTTCCTTTTGTTTAGATGGCTGCTAGTGTTGCTTTTCTGATTGCGAGATACTTTGCTAGAGAACGTATCCTTAAGTTAGTTGAAGGCAACAAGAAGTTCCTGGCCATTGATAAAGCCATTGGTGAAAATGGGTTTAGGGTTGTTACCCTCCTTCGTCTTAGCCCTCTCCTTCCTTTCTCTCTTGGCAATTACCTCTACGGCTTGACTTCTGTCAAGTTTGTGCCTTATGTATTTGGAAGGTCTGTGTTAGTGCTACTTCTTTAATTCAAGAATTCAAGATTTAGTTCAGGTTTCTTTTTTTAGCAATTTGAGAAAAGTTGATAAAGGTGAATTCTGAGTTTACATACTCACTACTGTTTGTGCAGCTGGTTGGGTATGCTTCCAGGGTCTTGGGCTTATGTTAGTGCTGGGGCTTTTGGACGAGCTATCATTGTAAGTTTTTTTTTATGGTTCTGTTAATCTAAAACATGCCCTTTTCTCAGTAGGATCCACCGAGCTTCTAGGTCCATGTTGGCAAGCTTTATTCTCTCGTAGGACCAAGTTGAAAGCTAGGTTAAAATAGAGGGAATTAAAGGGTTATAGATCATCAAGCTGTCTTATAATCATCAAATGGGCAAATCTTCTAACTATGTTGTTTTCAGCAAGAAGAATCTAATGTTGGATTGCCTGGAGGAAACGGCCAGCTTCTAACGCTAGGGTTGGGTTTGTTGGTAACTGCATTGGCTGCAACATATGTGACACGCCTTGCAAAGGTAACTCATTCTTTGGAGTAGTAATTGTTCTGCTCTCTCTACTCTACCTTATCTGGTTTTTCGCTTTACAAAGTTAACTCACTTGAACCTAATCGTTGGGTGTTGCAGGATGCTATAAAGGATATTGATGATGAGTAATGAGATGCAAACTAAAGAGGATGGAACAGCACATCGACGGACCTTGGTTCTATCCTATAAAGTTTAGGCAGAGAACCATGTACTAAAAGTTGGAAGCTGTTTTCAAAGAATGACACTTATTGCTCGATTCTTGTTCATAGCTGAGATATAATTTGTTTTTGTTCTATACACCGCAATCAGTATGTGGTAATAAAGAAAATGCTTCTAAAAATAGATGCGTTTATATAAGTGAGCCTCAGAAAATGAAAGTACTCGAGTACCTTTAGCACTCAAACAGGCAAGTTCCAACCAAAACGTATCTGAAGATGAGATAATTTCCAAAAGTAGAAAAAAAAAATTCAAAAGTTTCGGAGATTTTATTTGTCAAAAGAATAATTCATGATGATGTCCCAGACCACCATTGGTTGATTGATTTCACTAAGCAGTAGCTTCCTTCAAGTAGGCGATGAGATCAGCACGCTCTTGTGGCTTCTTGAGCCCAGGGAAGACCATCTTAGTTCCAGGAATGTACTGCAGCATTACAAATGAAAACCCAATCAATCCCAATGTTAAACTCACAAATCAGAATGTTATATGATACTATTATTAAGTTATTACCTTCTTGGGGTTGAGCAAGTAATCGTACAAGGTCTTCTCTTCCCATTCAACAGCTTTGTTCTTGTTAGCAGCAGAGTAAGAGTAACCTGCTGTTGTCCCAGACTGTCTCCCAAACAGACCGTTTAGGTTCGGTCCTATTAACACACATAAACGGGTGAGTAACAATGTTAACCACAATATCATTGAAACATAAATTAAATAACAGATAGTTTTCAGGATAAATACGAATAAGACATTAAACGATATCAATGTTTTTGGATCGGATCTAATGATGATTTGAGAGATAAGCGTGGATCCATAACCAAAACGGATCTAACATTAGGAATTAATAATTATTATTCTAACGAGCGAAGGAAATGATTACAAATTAAAAGCTGGGATCCATAAGAGATAAGAGATGGATTGTATGTAAACCTTGTTTGTGACCGGCGCCTTTGTCGACTGTGTGACACTGAGCGCACTTGGTCCTGAAGATCTTCTCACCGGCCTTTGAGTTTCCTGGTGGTGCTTCATCAAACGACGCCATTTTCGCTGGAGAGAATAACAACGAGAGAAAATTAAGACGGAGCTCGCTTCTCTTAGGGTTTCTGTGAGGACATCACAACGAGACAAGAGAGGTCTCTTAACAATCAAAATAATGGGCTGATAACTATATGGGCTTTTCAGTGGGCTCCATTTAATCATCCATGTAAAAGTATAGTTTAATCGTGGAAAATAAGTCGAAGTGGTTACAGCTAATGGAAGCTGTGACCACTTCTTGTAAATGAGTCGGTGTGTCTAATACAAGAAAATTTTCAAAAATGTGTTAAGGGAGTAAAGACAAGAACCTAATCGACTAAAAAAATTGGTTGTGTGTCTCATTCTCTACCATATAAACCACATTGATTGATTACATATTAGGTGTGTAAGAACTAAAGTCGACTATTACGTCTTTCTCCATCTTCAATGTAAACACACGACACGACAAAAAACAACTTTTGCAATTGGTTTAGGCTGTTTCTGTCAGTGTGGAATCCGTAGAACTGGATATTCTTTTGGTCAAACTCAAATACAAGGGAATCCCTGTTTAGACGGTGCTCACGTCACGCATGACGCATTTTGTACAAAAAGAAAGTCTTTGTTGTTTTTACCCCCACGTGGTTAATGGCAAACGACAACGTTTTCACGCTCTTCTTCTGGAGTTTTTGACCGACTTTTTTTGTCGCTTCTTTTACACTTTTCACTGCATGAATCCATTGGCGAAAATTACAAACTCAACTATCTTTACTTTTTGAAAAAAAAAACTATCTTTACTAATCCCTCCATTTTAATGAATAATCATCAAAGAGAGAATCCTTTTGTCTAATGATTCTAAATGAAAACTGTATTGATTAAGGTTCAAACAAAATGTTACAAAAAATAAAACTTCAAACAAAATAATAATTATTAGAAATTTTAATAGTTAAATAAAGATAAAAGAATATTTAATTTATTCCTTTTAAAAAAAAAATTATACAGACATATCCTCGCTTCACAGAAGTGATTCAGATTAGTTACGTGTTGCCACGTGTCAGTTTTCTGTTCCTGGCGATGCTGAAATGTTAATTCTTCAATGGTCGAGATTCAAATTCAGGTGGCGGTACTCACTGCTGTAAGCCATTTACTATTAGAGCTAGAAACTCCGGTTAATTAATTTATTCTTTTAATTTGTGTAAAAATATTTAAACAATATATATTTTAAAACAGAAAATATAAAACAACAATAAGTGATCTAACTGATTAGATAAATCTATTATACTTTTGGTACTTATTACTGAATTTGTGAGATATGTTGTGGCATGAGAAGAAAAAACTTCTAAAATAAAATTTCGAATTTACTATTAAACACCCACAGTAATAGACTTACAGCTTGAAATCAAATTTCCACAAACCGATGCTACCACTCATAGGTCATACTTTGACCAGTTGAATTATTCTTCGGAATAAAAAAAAGATTATTATTAAGTTCATTGGTCAACCTAGATTATAATATTATTTTATTCGTTTTGACTTTCATATCTTCAACGTATAAATAGCCATCATACCTTCAGATTCAAACTCAAACACAAATACAAAAATGGATTACAGAGATTCCGAGGACAGTCAACCAAAGTACAGAGGAATCCGTCGCCGGAAATGGGGAAAATGGGTATCGGAGATTAGAGTTCCGGGAAGTCGTGACCGTCTCTGGCTAGGCTCATTCTCCACCGCAGAAGGCGCCGCCGTGGCACACGACGTAGCTTTCTACTGTTTACACCAACCAAACTCACTTGAGTCTCTCAATTTACCTCACCTTCTTCCTCCTTATATCGCTTCCATTACTTCGCCGAGATCTGTCCAGCAAGCTGCTTCCAATGCCGGAATGGCCGTTGACGCTGGAATCGTTAACAGTAATGGCGTTTCAGGGAACTCTGGGTGTGGAGATACGACGAAGTGTTGTGAGAATGGTGGTGAAGTAGTGGAGCCGTTGAATATTTCAGTGTATGATTATCTGGACGGTCACGATTGGTCTTCTTCTTTTTGATTTAAAAGATAGTGTTGGCGCCTAGTAAGCAAACCAAAAGGTTGTGAATAGATATATACATGTGCATTTATGTTTCAATGTCGGACCAATTCAAGAATATTTTGGTTGTAGTTTACTAAAAAGCCTTCAAGAGAATGATAAGGTACTGAACCAGACAAGAAGCAGCATGTACATGTGTCTGGTTTGACATTCAATTATTATTAGGCCTGTGGTTTCGAACCGAACTGAAAATAACTGTTGTCAAGTTAAAATATTACAAGAAACAAAAGCTAAACCTGTAATGATCATGACTCAAACAAAACAAAGAAAAAGTCATTTTTAAATGGAAGAGGAAAAAAAGCAGTAAAAAACTGTAACAAAACGTCACTAAGATGAGACCCTTCCATAGTGTAAGATCATATCATCAAAGTACCAAAACAAAACTCTTAGGGTATTATGTTTATAAAGAAAACAAGAAAAAGGATTCAAGAGGTAGTTTAGCATCAATCCAACATCTCGAGTAAAGAGGTTCAGGTTAATGCAGACAAAGCCGAGCCGTTCTCCTTCTTACCATTTGTTTCCTCAGAAGCAAATGACTCGTCCAAGAACCCTTCAAGCTTGGCTCTCTCAACACAGCTTGAAAACTTCTCCGCAGCATCAGGAACATCCAAAGACAGATCCTCAATACACTCACCCACTCTTTTAAACCCTTTTGTCATCTGATAAATCGTCACTAGCCCTGAATCGAAACACACTTTTAGTAGCTTCCACACTCGTTCCTTCTTCTCTTTCTCTTCTATGATTCTCACCACTGACTTCTTCACAACCTCGTGGTGGAAAAACGGCATTCCCAGCTCCTTCACACACCTACAAGCTTCCTTCAGGTCTCCACCAGAGACGTACTCTTCAAGAAGAATCTGAATCTTCTCTTTCACTTCGCTCGCAGTGCACCCTGGCGATTTTGTCTCTATTCCTCCTCCTCCCCAGCAACGTAAGATCCTTTCACCGGAGAGACGCGCTTCCAGTAACGTCTTCGCAGTTTGAATCACTTTCCCTCCCACATTTGAGCCTGGCTCGGGAGTCTGGCTCAACAATTCTTCTAAGTCCCGTGGAGCTAACACCTCGTCAACCACAGCTCTGGCTAAGAACATGGCAAGGTCTTCAACAACCACTGGGTTGTCCAGAGCAGTGTCGTCTGCAGATTCTATGAGCATGAAGAATGCGTTTCTGACATCTTTGGCAGGGAAGCCAAGAGAACAGACGAGGACACAAGCCATCTCTTTCTCTCTTTTCTTTCTGTCCATTGCTAAAGTTATCAGATACTTGACAAAGATTGCACGTAGCTGACTTGAAGATGCACTCGGCTCGGTTTCAAGACAATGTACAACCTCTGAAGTGTCACCTGACAGGAAGTACTCTCGGACAATCGACTTAGCCTTGTCTTTAAACACATTAGCGCTGGAGTTTTCAAGTAACTTCTCACCAGCAGAGATTGATTTCAGAGAAGAAGCACATAACCATCCTTCAGAAGCAGCTCTGGAGATGAAAGACTGTAACACACCGCGTGCCTCTGGAATGTCAAGAGACAAATCTTCAACTGAATCAATGATTCTACTGAACCCTTTTGTCACTTGGGTGGTGTTTATGAGTCCAACCTCAACAGCTTCCTTTAACAAATCAAGCAGCTTTACTTGCGCCTTTTGCCTCTCCATAGCCATAATTAATGCTCTTTTAACAATCTCGTGGTGAAAGAAAGGAACTTTCAATGCTTTGATGCATCTAAAAGCTTCCTTCTTGTCTCCACTCATCACATACTCTTTCAACAAGTCGTTGATCCTTCCTTTCACATCCTCAGCTGTCCAGTTATCAGCACCTCCCCATCTCTTCTCAACAATCTCTGCATGAAGCGGAGCCGCTAGATAACTCTTCTCAGCCTTCTTCAACACATCCACACCCTTTGAGTCCTCAGGCAACAGATTCATCTGCTTCTTCAGAAACGCAGGAGGGAGGATGTCGTCGACAATAGCACGAGCCACAAAGACAGCAAGAACGTCAACAGCATCAGGGATATCTACTGAGAGATCATCAGCTGAAGACACAAGTTTATTGAAACCTCTGTAAACTTCTGGAGGGTCAATGACATCGGCGTAAAGGGTAGACAAGAGAAAAGCAGCCATTTCTTTCTCCTTGTCGTTCCTGTCCATGGCCATGGAGACTAGCTTCTTGACGAAGTAGTAACGGTACTCAGCCATTCCAAGCTCCTTGAGCTCATTAACAACTGATACAACATCGTTGGTGCTAAAGTATTCCTCGATGATGATCGTTGCCTTTTTCTTGTACTCACTTAGATCAGCATCGAAGTTTGTTGAATCTGAATGTCCATTACCCTGGTTCAAGCAAAAAAGTTATCAAACTTAGATCTATACTAATAAAGGAACCACACACACACATACATCACTCTAATAATGAGTTTTTTTTTTATGTGCAATAGGATTTTCATAATGTTTAACATAAAACAGCCATAAGAAGAGTCAAGTGGAATGAGAATACCTCAATGGAGTAATCATTCTCTACGTCAAAAGACTCTTCCCAAGTTTCTTTGCTCCCTTCCACTGCATAGCGAGACCAAACATAAGTATAATATCAAATACATAGAGGAAATAGGATTGCCCTGTGACAAAAAAAAAAAAAAGATTGCCAAAAGGCTATACCTTTGGGAGGGAGACCGTCTTTAGGAGAAAGAGAGTGCATATGACTCTTTGAAAGCTCCCCTGCCATATTGGCCTGTGGCAAAGGAGATCCTGGAGCGTCTGAAGATAATTTCAATTGAGAAATGGAGAGAGGATCCGTTTGTTCCATAGAAGATGATTGCACAAGCTTTGTTGAACTCTTGTCTGGCTTTTTTCCGAATCCCTCCAATTCCTCAACTTTAGATTGTCTCAACGATTATTCACTCACCATAAGTTTTCTGCAATCTATTTAAAGAACATAAAAAAAAACTCAGCACCAAACATTATAAACCAAATTAAAGTGACAAAAACCATCACGACATACTCTAGGATTCAATCTCCAATAGATATATATATCGAACAATCAATAATCAAACAAATACAAAAGGTTAATCTAATCTATAGCCAATTTAATCACATCAACGAGTGTAACAGAAGATTTGTAAACAGATTCAATAACTAAAACAATAACGGATTCAGGTCAAATTAATTGTTCAACGATCTACGACAAAGAGACTAACATCGATACATTCGAATCGCGTTATAAAGAAAAACGAAGATAATAACAAAACAAACGCATAAGAGAAAAGATTAGAGAGATTACTGGGTGAAAGACTCGGCCGGAGAGAAACAGAACGCCGGCGATCAAGCGGGCGTCTCTGTCGCTCGCTTTACTTTTTTTCTCTTCTTCGAGTCGAACACGATCGTGACTTTCCTGTAACTGAAGTATTTATCTATTTCTTTCTTCTTTTTTTTTTAGAGATTTTTAATTTAACTTAATTAAAATTAAAAAATTGGAATAAAGCCTTCTTAAGTAACGACGAGTCTCTTTTGGTTTTGCCTTCTGCCCCGTAATTTGCTTTCGTCTCCACCACTATGTTCTCGACATATGTTACCTCTTTCCCCCAACCACGTCACCTATGAGTCATTCACGCTCCTTCACTCTTCTATTTATTAATGTTTTTCTTTCGTTTAATGGGCTTCTCCTTATACCAAGCCCATTAAAGTACACCGTCTAATAAATGGGCCATTGTGCGTGACTCTCACGCAGAGTTCCACCTGTCGGCGTACCAAGCCATACCCTCTTCTCCAAGCAAAAAAAGAAACCTTCAAAGAGAACAAATTAAAAAATTACTGAAACGATCCTTAAAAGTATGCAATCCTATTGGAACACACTTATACTTTGGTCTCTCTTCTAAAAGAAAAGGTTTAGAGTTTTTTTTTTTCTTCTCATGTGATGGAGTCTTTAAGTGGTTCATGTCCGCCTGGAAACAGAGTTTTAGCTCCTGGTTTTAGGTTTCATCCTACCGACGAAGAACTCGTTGTGTATTATCTCAAGAGAAAGATTCGCCGCAAGAAACTTAAAGTCGCTGCTATCGGCGAGACTGATGTCTACAAGTTCGATCCCGAGGAGCTGCCTGGTAACCTTGATCAGATCTTCTCCTTCCACCGTTTTCTTTTTTATTTGCTTATGGTTGCCTGAAGTTTGCTCTGTTTTTCTCTGTTTTGCTCTGCTTTCCTCTGTTTTACTCTGTTTTAGATATATTTGAATAGTTATTATAACTTTTGATGCGATTTGGTCAGCCCAAACGTTGATTTGTTTGTTTAGATTTGGGATCTATGTGTTGTTACCATGTTAAAAAAGTTAACTTTTGAGACTGATGTATTTTTTGTTTTGTAGGCAAAGCGTTGTATAATACTGGAGATCGACAGTGGTTCTTTTTCAGCTTGAGGGACAGGAAACAACATGGAGGCAGGTCAAGCAGAGCAACCGACGGTGGATACTGGAAAGCAACAGGTGTAGACAGAGTCATCAAATGCAATTCTCGTCCCGTTGGAGAGAAGAAGACGCTTGTTTTCCACAGAGGCAGGGCTCCAAAGGGGGAGAGGACTAACTGGGTCATGCACGAGTACACAATGCACAGAGATGAACTCAAGCTGTGTGGAGATGTTAAGGATAATTTTGTTCTTTACAAGATTTTTAAGAAGAGTGGGTCTGGTCCTAAGAATGGTGAGCAGTATGGAGCTCCTTTTGTTGAGGAAGAGTGGGCTGAGGATGATGATGAGGTTGATGTGGCTGATGTAGTCGTGGTTCCTGAAAATCAGCCCATGGTTTCAGCTGGAATGGGAAATAATAATATATGGGCGGATGGTGGGATTAGCCAGTCTGTGTTGAGTGAGAATGATATTGAAGAGCTGATGAGACAGGTTAGTGATGACATTGGAGTGAACTCTCATGTGGGGACATGTAATCCGGTAAACTTGGGAGAAGATGAGTATTTGGAATTTAACGATCTTTTGCTCCCTGAACCTGAACCAAGTTATGTGGACGCTGTGCAGAGGAACTGGGACCAAGAAGAGTCTGCTGTGCTGAATGATAATGATTTCATTGATGTTGATTCATATATTGGTGACTTTGATGCCACAAATCCTCAGTCAGAACCTGTTGGTTTGAACAATGGACTTGTACAAAGTCTTCCTTGGAGTAACCAAGCTAATAACAACCAGTTCCAACAGCAAACATGGAAGAACCAAGACAGCAACTGGCCACTTCGTAACAGCTATACCAGAAAGATAAGCAGTGGATCGTGGACGCATGAGCTAAACAATGATGAAGTTACTGTTTGCCGATATGGTGAGGCCCCTGTTACAAGTAAACCAACAACAGGTTTTCTCACTAAACCCTCCAATAAAGCTCTTCTGATGTTCCTTTCTGTTTAAACATCACATTATCCTAATCATATTTTGCTTGCAGGTGATGCATCTGAATCCACAAACCCTCCTACCTCTGGTATAAGCATAGCAAAGGGAACAGAAGCCACAACAGACGAGTCAAGTCAGTACTCTTCTAGTTTATGGTCTTTCCTGGAGTCGATTCCTGCAAGTCCAGCATTTGCTTCAGAGAATTCATTTGTCAACCTGAACCTACTCAGGATATCAAACCTTAGTGGCCGCTACCGCTTTAGTTCTAAAACCACAAGTAGCAATGTTGTTATAAAAAAGAACTCCGGAGAAAACAACACCAACAAGAAGAACAACCACAAGGGCTTTCTCTGCTTATCAATCATTGGGGCTATGTGCGCTTTATCTTGGGTGATGTTGGGAACAATGGGAGTTTCAAGGTCTTTGTTATGGTGAGAAGAACCCTAAAGCAAAGACAATGAACATCAACAGAAAGAAAGTCTCAGAGTTCCAATTAGTGAGCCGTATCTTTGTAATTGTTTTATTAGCTTTAGATTCATAAACTGTCTAGTATCGGTTTGTTGTTTTGGTTTGAACCTTTCTAAACACAGTTCCTATCTATGAATGATGTCAAGTTGTTAAAAACCCAACTACTTAAAACAAATCAAGATTTATTGAATCATATCCCTTGTACCAGAGCGGTTATATCCTGAAGCTGCTTCTTAACACTCATATCAATTACCTTAGAACCCGAACTTCCAAACCTAATCGTAAACCCAGCGATCAAACTCTCATCAATCACAGTCCTAATCCTCACATTCCTCGCTCCGGTAAGTCTCTGCACAAGCCTCGCCACCTGAGCCAAATGCGGAGCCTCAAGCTTCACCACCGACTTCACAACCACGAGCTCCGTCTTCGTCATCTTATTGTAAACCACTTCGAACTCCTTCATAATCTCATTCACAAAATCTATCCGGTTCGAATCGATCAACACGTTCAAGAAGTTAGACGTGTGCGGAAGCAGGGATAGAGACTCGGCGATCAGGTCGATCACCTCTCGCTTCTTCTTGAGCTCAACCGTCGGGTTTACGAGCAGGTTTAGAACCGTGGGATCTGAGAAGGTCTTCGCTAGCTTCTCCACGTCGTTGCAGGTTGGTTGTAGAGTGTTGTTGGCTTTCGCTAAGTCGGCTAAGGCTGTTGCGTAGATTTCGGAGACCTGTGATGACATTTTTACCCCGACGAGGTGAAGGCGGCGAGGGAATTGGACGGTGAGATGTGTGGTTACGTGAGAGGGGAGATGGAGATTGGGGCGGCGGAGAGAAATTAGGGTTGAGTGGAGAGAAGTCATTGTTTATCGGTTTCAACGGATGTTCAGTGATGGTGACTTGGAGAATGATCGGAGATAGAATCTAACGGTTGAGATTGATTCAGGAGTTTTGTAACTGACGGCTGGTAATATAGAGTGAGACGGCGTCGTTTACGTTAAACCGTAACGATCGCTATATATGATTTCCGGTTTTGTTCTGACAATTTTGTTCAATACTATTTTGGCAGGTGGATAAGTCAAAAAGATGATTGTGTAATGCTTTGTTACGTACTTGTTTATGTGTTCTATGTAACCATGGCAATGTAATAAAGTAAGCAGCTCAAATATAAGAAAATGTTTGGCTTTGGGATGGTACACGTGAGCTTTATTGACTAGCTTTGCAACTGGAGGAGGAGATGATAATTGATAAAGGCTTTATATGAAGGATTGGGCTGATTAAGTTTCCAGGTCTGCACATAATTATTTTAGAGCTTCTTGGTATGATAATCAATGAGTCAATATTTACAGGTCATCAGGAGTCAGGACTGTGTGTTTTCTTAGGGAGTGGAAATGGCAATGGGGTACAAGTTGCCGGAGAAGAAATTCGGCCAAGAAGTTCTGTTGGATTAAGCCCATTTAACATCTGTTCTGTTTTGCTACTAGCCTACTATAGTGAGTCTTTAAATAACATAATTTTAAAAAGTATGATTAAATATAGTAGCAAATTTTATGATTTGATGTATGATGTCTTTGTTTCAAAAACGAAACCTAAAAAAGATAAATCTAAGAAAATCATAAACGAATATTTTACAGCCCTGACGATAAAAGAATGTATATCAACTATATAACAGATTAATTAAGTATGATACAATTTTAATACAAGCTTTTAATGCATTTTTTCTTCTTCATAATTACAACAAACTAGGTGTTTTGCCCGCATTTGTGGGCTTAATAATTTTACTAATATCTATAAATAAATATATAATCAATTTATGTAAATTATAATAAATTATAATTCATAGACTCAAAATATTTAATAATAAACTAAACAAATTCTTTCTATATATAAAGTTTTTCATCATCATATAAATAATTTTCATTACACAACTTATATTTGAAAATACTCATGAACTTAAAACATTTAGTAATAAATTAAATCATTTTTAGACATAACAAAAAAGTATAAAAAATTATTTTTAATAATGTTTTGGATAACACAATATAAATTATCTATACATAAATTTCTTGCGAATTTATTTTTCATAATTAACTATATATTAACAAATAGAATTATTTTTCAACATTAATAAAGACTTTATAACACAATATAAAAAGTTAGATAAAGATAATTATCAAATTCATGAGATTCATTTTTTAATTTAGAATTAATTATATGTTAACAAATATAATTATTTTTTAAAATAAAGACTTTATCACATAATATAAAAAATTAAAATAAGGATAATTATCAAATAAATGAAATTCGTTTTTAATTTATAATTAATTATATATTAACTAATATAATTATTTTTCAAGGTTAATAAAGACTTTATAACCCAATATAAAATATTTTTAGATAAAGATAAATCTAAAATCACTGAAATTCATTTTTTTATTTATGTTTAATTATATTAAAATGTTTAATTATTCATTAAGTATATAAACGATATTAACCGCTCTAACTTTCAACGTGAAAGTTACAAATTAATCAGAAAATTCACTTAAATTTTATAATTGAAAATATATTTTTAAGATAAAAATCTAATACAAAAGAATTAACATATTTTCTAAAAATATAATATTATTAACCTAAATTGTTTTTTATTTTAGAATAAATTATTAAAACATGAAAATAAGCAAAATAACCTAAAATCATGGAGAAGTTGACAACTAAGCAAATTTACTTCTAAAATAATAATTGAAAATATATTTTTAAAATAACAATCTAATACAAAAGAATTAACATATTTTCTAAAAATATAATATTATTAACATAAATTCGTTTTTATTATATAATAAATTATTAAAACATGAAAATAAGCAAAATAACCTAAAATCATGGAGAATGAACAAATCTTAAATTATAACTTATATAAATAAATTTTAAATTATATGTTTCCAGTCCCACACATTAAATTTCACCTAACCGAGTGTAAAAAATAGGTTAAATTGTTGCAATTTAAACAAATATTGGGAATCAAAGGTGGATCCATGTGAGAAGATGGGGTGTCACCTAACACCCACTAGATCTCTGTAAATTTTATATTGCTTACAAATTACATGTAAATTTAGTAGTTTTGTTGATAAAGCATCCCTCTTAACCAGAGGCGGTCTTTGGGCCAAATTAATAAAATTCATGTTTCTGCGTATAATTTATGACAATATTTCTGCCACAAATCTATCAAAAACTGTGTTAGTATCGTGGTTAAAGCTCTGAAAATCAGTTTTTATTTAGCTTATCTGAATTCGAAACTCGCCTAATACATGTTTTTGAGCATTTTCTTTTTGAGAAAGTGGCTACATTTTTATTTTTGTTTTCAGTATTTTAAAACTTAGAACCGGTTCTGCTCTTGACACCCATAAACCATGATTCAAATTTCACCAATTTCGACACCTTTTATTTTATTTTTCTTGTAAGTATATAGCTTGACACTGGTAAAAATCATTCATGGATCCGCGGATGTTGGGAACTATAGAAAACTCAACATATTTTGGGCAAAACTGAAAAGAAAGAAAAAAGAGTAAAACCTTAAAAAAAACATTAGGCAATTTGGGAAAGAAAAGGAAGAAACAGATCTTGAGTATGATGATTCTAGGATGCAACATGGAAAGAGAAGAGCCACACGACATGTTAGTAAGTTCACGTTAACGTAAGTGGTCTCTGCAGTGCAGTGTTGGGTTGGGTGGAATCTTAGGGCGGTTTAGGTCGTTTTGACTGCGACTTGTTCTTTCCTTTTTGGGTGAAATTGTGAATGATGTTAAAATTCTATTGGAGCCAATAAGTTGTACACAAATAATGTTTGTTCTCCTACTGTGACAGTCACTAGATTTCATATACCGTCATGAATAAGTTGTAATAAACTATGCATGATATATATATATATACTTTTATTGATTTACAAATAGTTTTTTTATCGCGACAAAACCTTACATAATCAATATGCATGTGCGGAGACTTTGTATAGGAAACAAATAGACATTCTTGTGAGTTGTCATATAGTACGAGCCGATTCCACTTCGTTTAGTGGTGTCTTGTTGACGCAAGCATGCGGCTGCCAAAACCAAGCATAAAACTCTTGGGCTCTCTATTTTCAAGTTATTCGTATCGGAGTCAAAATAGTTTTATGTTAATTGTCTGTTCGCGTCGTTAACATCTTTTTAATCCTAGCATATATCTCCACCCGCCATAATGTTGAATAGATGGAAATGGAATATTAATTAGTCTTAAACCAACAGAACGACTCAACATGAGTAGATTATAGATGCTTCCTTCACTTAGAGCTGGACCAACAGGAATCCCAAATCAGCAAGTTGATAGGTCTTACTTAAATTGATGTATAAATAAGCATATATTCGAACTTCAGTACTGTTGTCAAATAAAAATATCATCGATTGGGTGAGAATTTCTATTAACTCCGAAGAAAGGCCAACATAACGAGGAATAATCAAGAGAAAAAAAGAAGAAGAGAATTTACAGTAACAAATCAAATCAAGACATTATGATCCGAAATAGTAAATACTGAAAAGATTGTGAAACGAAAGTTATTCTTATCACCATATAATACCGAGCATACGTAGTTGTTATTGAATTCGGGAATTTGGAAAATGGACATTTTCTTTATTATTTATCCTTTTATGTGGCTAATAATTGGGAATATTGGAATTAGAATTCCACAAAGGGCGTTATTACATAGCTTTTTTTTTTATTATATATTAACTATTAGTCTCCTTCTTGTGCTTGTTAGGGTGGGTTCGAATAAAAAACATGCCATTCGCAAGTATCACCACTCCCATACCATGGGCATTATTATCATGCTCATGTATGATCACTATCATCCACACACTTTATATACGTACGCATGCATATGTATATTCATCATATATATAATATATGCATGGATGTATGTGTGTGATTCATCACAGACACTAGCCATATTAAGACAATCGTAAATAGCACGTTTGTTACCATTTGTTGTGAGAGTGTTCGTCGATTTAAGAGATGTATATCTATTAAAAAAAAATAGGTTTTATAGGGTGTGTGGTTTGTAAATGCCGATGCATGTAATGCACTATACCAAACGAGTGTTGATTATTCTCACCAATCTTATGGCCATATTCGCCACGGCATATTTTGTCGTGAATGTGTGCATCTTTTTCAGTCACTCGTACGCGCACTTACCCTTGCATGCGAATATGATTAGTAAAAAGAGCACTTAGATTCATATGATTCTTATAGATTTGAAAAAGATTATACAGGGAACTCATTCTTATAAACTATTTACACTAGAAGACACATTTTGGATTATGCTACCACTATCATTTAGTTTTGTTTTATAGAAACCATTTACTTGTTGTTGGGCATGTGTTAATTTTTTTTCGTTGTCATCTAATTTTATTTTACTGAATATATTTTTTTGTTCATCATACAAAACGTACGATCTGTTATTTTTATATTATAAATTAGATATTAATTAATATCAACACTTCAGTTCTTAGAGCACCTTTATCCCAAAAAAAAAGTGGGGTGCTTAGCATAAAAAATAGAAGGGGGGACCACAAAAGAAAGAAGTCGATGCTTCAGTTGCCAAAACAAGCGCCATCTTTTTGTGGATGCTTGCACTGTTACGCGGATCCCACGACACCTGGCGGCTCGCATTTAGTTTTATTTTATTTTTATTTTTTTAATCAGAAAACAAAATTTTTAAGCACCCCTATACGACAATCATGCTCTTATGTATGATTACTTTATTTCTGAACTCCAAGGTCCTGTGTATCTTTGCTAGCATTTG